TCAATCAACTTAAGACAACGGAAATTAAGGATAAGAGTATTAAAACAGAGGATGCTTGATTTTTCACTCACTGATTGTAATGTATCACCACATATATTTTTTTACAGGGTAGTCTGATTTTGCTAATTATATTTTTGGAAAGGAGATACATTAAACTTGGTCTCACATAAATTTAAAATATAATTACCAAAAGGGCGTGAAAATATGGGTTGATTGTCTCACAAAAATTGTAAATAAAAAACTTTTTGACAAAAAATAAACCGCCGAAAAGTAAAATATAATGAACTCTTTTTTATCTTTCGTTAAATTAATATTTGGAGTTAGTGCCAGTGCCAGGAAAACCCAAATAGTAAATGGGAACTCAGATCTATCAGGCCTGCTTGGTATAAGTATAATTTTTAACTTTTCTTCGGTTGAATTTTTATTGTATTACTTTATACATAGATGTCGATTCTGGCACGATTCTCTTAAGCTAAACTTAAATTTGACAACAGTCCATCCTTGACATTCTCTATACAGAATGAAAACGAGAGACTGGTGTTAAATTTAGTTTAAAGTTTAGAGAATCACTCTAGTATCGACACCATAAAGTGTTTATGTATGCCAGGCGTAACCCACTAACTGAAAGTTACTCATGTGTCCGACACCAATGAACTTGTCAAGAATACATAATTAGAAAAAGTACATTTAGGTACAATTTATTGGATCAAAATGATCCCCTACGTGTAAAAGCTGCCTACGTTCACTGGCGGAATTGTGTTAAAGAAGACAAAATAATAAGAAGCATTAACAGTTCAACTGTAGAACTTTTCATGAAGAATTTGTTTTATACCTGTACATTAGATACTTTTATTGTATTCCAATAAACAGGCACTTTTTACGTAAACTGTGATGACATACTAGTATAGTTCCGAGTAAAAACATTACATGATTATGATGTCATAAAAATATTGATTTAGCAAAATAAATAGTAATTATTATTAAAATAAATATAATTTATTATTTAGTCAAATTAAGCTTTTGTTCTGTATTGAAAAACTTGACAAAGCACTTCTCTACATGTTTGTGTTTCTACTACGAACTAGTTACAGAGGCAGAATGTCACACACTATTTATACATGTATCATATTTATTATGTTAAAGGAAAAGTTAAAGAAAGGATTCTTTAAGCATTATTTGGGGTTTGCTACCATGGTACCAGCTTCCAAAGTTATTTATAGGTCATTTTCTATATGTTTGTTCCTTTAAGAGAGCTACGATTATGAAATTTTGCACAGTGTGGGCACTACGGTAGTTTTCCAATTACAGAGCATAATGCGACTCAGTGGCGCACAATGCCCAATAGGCTAGTTTACTCATGTCGAATTGTATTAAATAAATGTTTATTTCTTAAAGTGTTTAGTCTAAGGAACCTTAATATATCGATTTCACTTCATAAAAGCAGAAGATTGCTGTAGAAATTTAATTTTAAAAAATATTTTTTAGTCTATATTTTTTAAACACTAAAAACGCTGTTCGCCACATTCGCCATGATTTTGACGTCTCTTGTGGTAAACAACTAAATGTCATTCGCGTGTTACTGTAGGTGGATTCTTTCGTCTGACTAAATTTATCTTAAAACACTTTTAACTTTAGGAAAGAAAAAAACAGTAAACTTAGTTTTTTTTGACTAAACAAATTATGGATGCCGGCTTTGTGAAAGCAGAAAGCACAAATCTGCCAAGAATTGACGCATTGATGGTTGGTGAATTTGTTGCACTAAACCCCGATTTCTGCTCTGCGGAGCAGAGAAACGACAATGCATCTATGTAAGTACAGTGCATTTAGTATTACAATGTAGTAATAAACATAAAACTGATACAACATATGAATAAGTGTAATAAAGTTGCGTAGGTTAATTTCTTTCGGCACTTTAATCCACAACTTTCCTGGAGTCTTCAAGGATGTGTTTTTATATTCTCGTACAATACAGTAATGATAATTACTTTATTTTTCGTGGTATTTATTAGAAATCATGTTTTTTTTTATTATAAACTCAGTTAAAAGTAATTTTTTACGTGTTTACGAGTTTGTGTTTACCACAGTTCACGTCATAGCATAAACAATCTATAGACTAAAATGGCCGACAGCGTTTTTGTATGTCCATGAAAAGTCTATTTTAAAATTAAAGATTTGTAGCTTTCTAGGTTTAAAAAAAATACAATCCATTTTTTTTCGGTCTAATAGAACATTTATTAACCATTTAAAACCTTTTTCCAAAAAGGGTCAACTAGCCTACTATGCTAGCTTGCTACATATATAGTGATCTGTGAATTATTCAAATGCACCAGCAGAGTGCGCTAAGTTCAGTGTTGAAAAAAAGTCAATGTTTCTACCTTCATCCACACTTATTTATTTTTTAACATAGTTTGAATTAACAATGATTATTAAAAAAAAAACTACAATGAAACGGAAACTTTAAAAACATTTCAACAAAAAGTAATATTACTAACGAAAATATATAAATAAAATATTTCGATCAATGCCAACTTAAAGAAAAAACACTTGTTAATTTTCTGTCATTGAGTTGGTACGATTGCACGCATCACACGAGAACATTACTTTTGAGAGTGCTCGATTGTGCGAAGCGTTGCTGTAGTTGAAATATTAAACGATAAGCATTATGCCACAAAATGCGCTGTAGTGCTGTAATTGGAAAACTACCTGTAAGAGCATTATTTTCTGTGAAACTTCGGTTGAATAACAATAAACCATTTTCGAGACTGGCCCGGTGTACGCTAGCTTGATAGTCATAAAAACAGTTATTGGTGTCGATTCTAGCATGATTCTCTAAACCTAAACTTAAATTTGACAGCAGTACATCCTTGTCATTCTTTATACAGAATGAAAAGGAGAGACTGATGTAAAATTTAGTTTTAAGTTTAGAGAATCACGCCAGAATTAATACCATTATTTCCTAAACTAAAAAGGAAGATTTTTATTATTATTACACTAATTAGGTATTAGTGTCGATTCTAGCATTTATCTCTAGACAGAATGAAAAGGAGAGACTGATGTTAAATTTAGTCTTAAGTTTAGAGAATCATGCCAGAATCGAAACCACTGGCGTGATTCTCTAAACTTAAAACTAAATTTAACATCAGTCTCCAGTGCCGTCTTTGACCTATTGGAGGCCGTGGGCATATTAGGATAATGGGGCCCCTATGAACCCCGTTTGGAGATCTAACAGGAACTAAGGACTTTGTATTTTGTGATCTGAGGTGGGCCCCTATCGATCGCGGGGCCCTGGGCACTTGCCCAAAGTGCCCACTGGGAAAGACGTGTCTGTCAGTCTCTCCTTTGGTCTGTCAGCCCGTAACATTATAATATGATTTTATTAATTATCACGCCTGTATTATTCTCATACATCTTTCATGAAATAATCAAATATTTAAAAGTGTGAAAATAGACTTCATGTCTGTTTCAAAAGGAAAATGTTCCATTTTACAAAAATAAATGAACAATTAATGTACACTAAAAATATTTGTATAAGTATATCGAAATAAACAATATTAATTTCAAACTCCTTAGAACTATGCCATATTTGGCCCAAATTTTGACGTGACAACGTCTTAAATTAGGTTGCGGCTGGGAGTCACTTATGAAAAAGTGTAACGCTCGGTAACGTTACGATGAGTCTCTCGTGTTAAGTTTAAGTTTACATGTACAATGTTTTAGTAAACAAAATATATTTCTATAGTTAAAATTTGTGCAATTCTTATTTTCATTCAATTCCTTGTTCCTATTGTGCAATTTAATTATATTCATATCAATAAATATTCTACCGAGAAAAAGACGTTGTCACGTAAAATCTTCGCCCGTAAAACCGACTTTACAGGCAACCATTTTTTTATTATAATAAATCACAGAAGGCCTAAATAGTAAATTTTATTATTCTGATCATGCCGATGACCACATATTAAATGTTTGTAAATAAAACTAGTTTTAACGGGTTAATGTACGAATTTTATTTATTTATTGACGTTTCGCAGCCTTTTCAGGTCTGCATCGTCAGAATAATGATGAGTTCGTGCATTAACCCGTTAAAACTAGTTTTATTTAATGAGTGATGTGCGTGAAAATCTAAGAAACAAAAATTATTTGTATTTATTTATGCATTAAAAACACTTTTTGTGAAGTGTTAATCAGAGAAATGGGAGGAAGGATTCTAAGAAAATGTATAATGGATGGCTCTGTAAATAATTGGCAACATCTTTTATTAAATGTAGCAAGGTTATGACATGGTAGGAGTTCTCATAATGTCCAAGATTGTGACTTTATCAAAAGTTCCTGAGCCTTTTTTCATAGATATTATAAACACTCAGTCATTCAGCATTAAATATTACCAAGTAAATATTACCGCCATCTCGTTACCAGGCATAGCATTGCAGCTGCATGGACACCCACACACACACACACACACACACATACCCACACACACACATACATACGCGCACACACACCCATTCACACTTCATAAAGTTATCATGTGACAAACTCTTGAAAACCCTTTTATATGGATATTCAGTGTTTGTTTTTCTTCTTTTTTGTCTTTTTGTTATGTTTTTGTCCAATCTTAATTTTATTTTATTTTTTATGTTAATGAATTATATAATTTTTATGCAATTTTTAAAATTAAATTAAATTAAATGTAATAATTACTGACTTATAATAACGCCGTTAATATCTAATGTGTACGTAATGAGTTTCTGTAATTGGCCTTAAGATTATATCTATATTTTATTGTATTAAATTTCACAAAAACCGTGAAGAAAGAAACTTTGTTAAAGATAAATAAATAAAAGTACAATATTTATACATTGCTAGGGCAGCCGCTCATACAAAATTTTACCATGTAATTTAAGTTTAGGTATAGAGAAACATATCAGAATCGATACCAGGTATCGACACCACTATTTAATATTATAAGTAACAACCCCGAATCCATTGCGTTCTACGCCAACATAACGGACACATGTGCTTCTGGCGCGTCACGATTCGCCACGTAAATATGTTTTCACCCTCAAAAAGGGCAAAATACCACAGCTACCAACATGGCGAAAATAGCATGTCAGTATCATCTGTGTTCAATCAATGTCATTTTTTGTTGTGTGTCAACTGTCAATGTGTGTCATGATAATATTCGCGCCAGAACTGAGCGGCAAGCAAGGCGTCACTCTAATCGCTATCAAACAGCTTCATTTGGAAAAGTATTATTTTGTAAAAGATTAGATTAGTAATGTAAGTATGCAATTTATGTTTATTCCTCTATTTTCGTGAAATCCAATTCTTTTGGAATGCAAGGTATTGAACTGACCGTGGGACATGATAAAGGTGTTTATACAGTGCTGCCAACATAAAATTGTGATGCTTGCCTTTCCAATGGAATGGATGGCGAGATGAAAGAATTGAAATTAACAAATTACTCGACTTCGACTTAAAAACTTATTGATTTGAACAATAATATTAAATTAATTTGGATTTTGCATTTCCATTTTATAAACGATGAAGTTTTGTGTGAAGAAGTAAATCGTGATTCTGTGATTATCAGTGTTTATGTGAGTTGTGACTTGTGACCCGTATTCATACAATCTTTGGTGACGCTGGTTATGTTATAAAAATGGTCACTTCTAACAAATTACCCGAAAAAAAGTTTGTGAAAATGACTGGACAAAGTAGTATAGCGGTGGTACCTCAAAGGACTTTGCTAGGCGAAGTCAATGAACACATAACGTGCCCGTTATGTCGGGGCTATTATATTGACGCCACTACTATTGTAGAATGTTTGCATTCATTTTGTCGAAGTTGCATTATTAAACATTTGCAAGGTAAAAGTTACTGCCCTGTATGCGAGATGATGATAAATTCAGCCAAACCTAATATTAAGTTAGATAAAGCACTACAAGATATTGTGTATAAACTAGTCCCTGGCTTATTTCAAAAGGAAATGGAAAGAAGACAGCAGTTTTATGCTTCTAGACCTGGACCAGCTGCCTCAGCTACACCTGAGCAAAGAGGCGAAGACACTGAACGAATTATTTTTAGTCCTGAAGATGTCATTTCATTTTCACTAGAGTATGCTGATATCACAGATTCAGATAGCATATCCAGCAAATCTTCAGATAGCAATGAACCACAACCTGCAGGTTCAAGAAGATATCTTCAATGCCCAGCAGTTGTAAATATAAGTCACTTAAAGAAATTTCTAAGTATGAAATTTGATATTGATAGTACTCAATTTGCTATTGATATATTGTATAAAAGAGTACCTTTGCCAGATTATTATACTTTAATGGACATTGCATATATATATAACTGGAAACGAAATGAACCTATGAGATTTTTCTATCAAATTAAAGATTATATTGCTATTAGAAATAGATTCTTTGATATTAATAGAAAAGGATCAGATTTCAGAGATAGAAAATCAAGCCCCACTTCAACAGAGGAAACAAATGTTGGTAGTCCAGCACCCAATCAAAATGACCACATTTCTGAAGGTTCGTCAGGGGCAGAGAGTCCAATGCCTGAAGAAAATTCTCAAAAACAGACTCATGATACCACAAAAACAAGTGAAAAATCAGCTCAAAATAAAGAGTCCAAGATACAAACAAATTTTAACAAACCTAACCTTTCATTATCTAAGAAGAATGATGAAGATGTTGAAAAGTCACAGTTTTTAAATTCCTTTGAACTTACTGCCAAAAGTAATAATTTAACTGCAAAAAGTGCATGTGCAAAAGTAACTAAAGTAGATAATGTAACACCTGAGAGTGTTTTGAAAAAATCTGTTTCCAGCACTAAAGTTGAAGACACTTTGAAAAGAAAACATGAGTCATCTTTAAATTCACCTGAATTGAAGAAACTGAAGATAGAATTGGAAAAAGCTAAAATTCCTAATTCACCCAACATTGGGTCTTCTCTTACTGATATATCTACTCAAAATATTAAAATTTCAGATCTTTCTACCAAGGTAAAAGATGCTGAAAGCTCTGTAAAGAAATCTTCAAGTCCATCAACAACTGGGATACCTGCTTCACCAATGTCTCCAAAGGAAATAAAACAGCAACCTCATTTAGTTGCTGTTCAAGCATCTGATAGCCCTGGTGTAAAGCGAACTTTGCCAGGATCTCAAAATAATACTTTATCACCAAAACGGAAAACAGCCAATGAAGCACCAACCTCTAATCAACCCGCACAAACAACTCAAAAAACTGTTTCTCCACTGAAATTGCAAATACCAAAATTAGATTCTCAATCAGTACATTCTAAATCCCCTGATGCACAAAAAGTGCCAGCCAAAAAAATTCCTGACTTAAAACCAAGCACAATAGGCTCTCCTTCATTGCAAAATAAGGGGCAACCAATTAATAAAGTAAGAATGGATTTACTAGCAAATAATAGTGACCCAATTGATCGAAATAAAATTTTATCACAAGTTAAAACATCCTTAGGTACTCAAAATAATGGGCAAAGCTCTGGTGACCCCTTAAAGTCAATTTTTGACTCTTGTAATATTAATATTCCATCTTCACTGTCAATTACATTAACTGATCAAAAACAAGAACCCCGCAATGCAAATGAATCTGTTAGTGCAGATCCCAAGAAAGGTATTGTCAACAAAAATTTAACAAGTGTTAATAATAACCCTGCACATAAAGTACCTAGCCCACCTGTACATAATTATATTGAGATATTAAAATTACCTGATACAGAATCAAAAACTCCAAATAAAACAGATTCTAACTCTGATGTAAAATGTAATGTTTCAAATAAATCAGAAAGTTCACCGCAGTCTAAAATTGTAAATAAATCATCAGAAACTTCAGCAAAAGGTCCTATTCCGAATTTGAAACCCATATCTGACACAAAATTAGGAAAACAGTCAACCACTGGAAGTTTTTCTGCACCTATCACATTTCAACAAACATTTGAGCAACAGTTACAATCTTTACAAACAGAAAAAAAACCAAAACTGTCTAAAGCCAAAACACAAGTACCAAAGCTTGTACCAGCACCTAAAGTATTTAATGTTAATAAACCTGCTAGTGTTAGCAACAAATCTAACTCTGGTACTTCTGTATCTGATACTAAACTTAGTTCTGCTCTAGATTTGTCTACACCGCATAATATTCAAAGTCAAGTAGGAACACAGCAAACTTTTGACAAGGCTCTAGAGACTATGCAGTCCATAGCCAATTTGGCAAAAAAACAAAATTTACCATCAAAAAGTGTAACAAACATGCCTTTGTCTCAAAGTAATTCATTTTCTGGAATATCTAATAGACAGACAAACCCTGGAGTGAGTCCTATTAGAGTACCTTCTACAAATATCAATCAAGCAAACAAGCCTAACACTCATGCTAATACTTCAAGACAAGATACCAACAAAATCCATTCAAACAAACCCACAAATCACTCCGGGTCAAGTGTTCCATCCCCAGGCTATCAAATGCAATCACATAGTTTGTCTAGTCCTGCTCAACCATCACCAAGATCCCAAACTCGTTCCCCTAGTTCCTCTCCTAAATTAGTTATTGCTGAAGATAAACAAACCAATGCATCTATAGAACATACTATAGGGCAAACAAATTCCATTATGAATAACCAAATATCAAAGTTAGAAACTGCAAAATCCTCTCCTGGCCCTTCTAAGTCTGGTCTGAAACCAGTCAAACCACTAACACCGGCAGTTAAAGTTAGTAATATAAGACCATCCATGACGCTCAGTCCTTCATTGAACACTACTGCAGATTATCTCAATAGACCACAACTTATATCACCACATCATCATTTATTAAGACAAATGGAGGTTAATGCTTGGCTTAAAGTTCAGAGACAGTTTGATCTTATTAAATCTATGTCTAATATGGCTCATCAAACACAAAACGATTTTAATGGTAAAGACAAATAATGACTTGATATTACAATATAATTATAAATTAAATTATTTTAACATGGATATTTCATTGTGTGTGTAAAATAATTATAAGGTAAATAAACTGATAATGATAAAATATATGGTCTGGTTAAGAAAAGATCAAAAAAAATATAATTTGTATTTTATTAACCACTTACTTTATTAGTTTGATTATTGCTGTTTTGTCATAATTATTGTTATTTTTAATGTGATATTGTATACCATTTATTATATACTTAATAAAAGGAAATTTTGGTAAATTAAAATTACTTAATTGTTTGTATCAATAATTTTAGTTAAACTTATGTTTTAGTTTTTATATACAAAAAATATTGATTATGTTCAACACATTTTAGGTTGTTCTGTAGTGTTTCATGTAGTACCGCACACATGTACAGACACAGATCAAGTAACCCAAACAGTTAAATTCCTCTAACTTTAAGCTTTATTGTGGTTGATATAAGTTTCACAATGTATTTTAGCAGCTTTGAGAGCTTGTGGTAACTTCTTCTGTGACTGTCTGCATGAAGGATTTAAAATCCTTAAAAATTTCAAAGGCATGGAAAACAATGTTATGAAAACTAATATTACCTCAGAATAATATATTACTTGAAAAATTGACGTGTAAGTTGTATACTGATTTGCAGTAATTATAATAAAATATTTCATGAACTTTTATTGCTTAAGGTTTGGTGTTATTTATAAATAAAATTTCAACTAATCATACTTGTTTTTTAATTCCCAAGTTGTTCTGGACGCGATACGTATTTAGGTACCTATCTCATAATATTTTCATAACCCTAGCGTAGCCTATAATTAAATTTTCCACTCAAATTGAATCGCTCTGCTTAGGAAGTTACCTACGCCACTCCGTACCTTCCAAATTACCACACTTCTGGTAGGTACCTACTTATAGTGTCTCTTTTTCCAGTGATAGGCACTTGGCAGACTGACGATGGGTTGTAAATGATTCAAGGTTGCTTCAAACTGCACCACAGGTAGATGCAGGGCATAGCGGATTTTATAAACTTTACAAAGTTTACGTCAGACGGGCGCTTTAATTCAAAAAGAAAATAATAATGTTAGTAAAAATATCGATTTCTTATACTTAAAAAAAATGATTATGGCATCGCCCTTATGTCCCAACGCGAATGAACGAGCCCGAATAGTTTTCTCACTAACTACAGAAAACCACATTGGAGGTGTTTTGTTTCTGTTCGTAATTAAGGTTTCAATTGTAGGGTATTGAGTTCAGGCTGGCAAGGAAAAAATGAAAGCTATCTGTACGGTCATTTTGCAGTTGCTGAGCGGTTCTTCTAACTTTAAGCTAGAGTAAATCATGGAACCGTGTTTATTTCACGAACTGCGTGGTTCGTTTTTAATAATGGTTGATATAATCCCGATGCAGCCCGTCTAGGCGTCTGTAAGAAATCTTAAGGTCCTTCTTCACTGGGAGTATTCGCATGTAGTGTACCTAACATTTCAGATCCTACTTTGAACATCAGCTTATAGTTGTTGATAGTTACCCCTGGCAATAGGGAATTTGCATAATTATTGTTTTTTTGATAGCGAATTGCACTTCTATTAGGTATACAAAAACGGGAATAATCTGTCCCTTTGAAAGCTTCTGTTGCGTGCGCAGTTAAAGATAAGAATAATTTATTTCAAACATATTGTACCTACAATCATAATACGTTACTAACTGTTATAGTTAAAAAAACGTGTCGCAGTATTAAGGTACAATCCCGAAAAGGGCTGCAGGCGACAACCGCAGGCATTTCATAGAGATTCATAGAAACTCGTAGTGTCGCCTGCAGTCTGCAGCTGCGACCTGTGGTCTGCGGTTCAGTTCGGACACCTTTAACGCCCATTCCCTGCATACCCACCTTGTATGGCGGAATGGTATGATTGGTCCATTTGAAAAGTTCTTAAAAAAGTCCACGACAATGTTATGTCTATCTTTTATGGTTGACTCACTATAACCTTTTTTCCTCAAATTAACGCGGGTGAATCTGCAGTTATTACTAATATAATATTATAAAACTGAAGAGTTAGTTTGTTGGGTTGAACGCTCTAATCTCAATATCTGATTCTCCTCACACACTGATGTAATGCTTACAACCGTTACTTTCAGGCAAATGCTACCGGTGAAGAAGCATCTTCCCATAGTTACTATACAGTAGGGAGAAAAAGTACATATTTAATAACCGTTTTACTTTGTGGTAGGTATCTATTTTAAAGGATATAATTCAGTCTGAGGCCCTAGCTCTAGTCTTTTATTTTCACTATTTTTAATGGATCAATTAGGGCCGTAGCCAGAGTTGTATTAAAGATAGGGCAGCGGTAATTACAGGTAGGCCATAAGCAGGGGTGTGCCGCCCTAAACAGCTTGCAGCCAGGGGGCTGCAAGCTGCAAAGCCCTATCAAAAAAAGGGTTTTTGATAGGGCTTTGCCTCATAATGCCGCCTCCCACTGCCGGATTTAGGGGAGGGCAACCGGGGCGAAAGCCCCGGGGCCTCCACAAACGGGGGGCACCCACAATAGAGACTTCGAAAAAAAAAAGTCTTTCAAATTCCAACTAGTAAACACTAGTAAACATCTTTTCCTTTGATATTTTTTTTTGCTCTTTCACCTTTACCCAGGGCCGAATTTAAGGCAGGGCAGGTGGGCTGTGGCCCAGGGGCCTCCACAACAGCTTAAGAAATAACAACATTTCAATGGGTCAATAAGCATACAAATCCTAAGTGGCCCGGGGCCTCCATAATCCTAAATCCGGCCCTGCCGCCTCCTCCCAGCAACGGCCCTGGGTTCAATGCGTCTTGTTTATGAAGTAATTTACTAACCTTTCAATTATTTACAGATGTCGACACTTCAAGCAACAATACCATTTAAATCTCGTAAGAAAGTCACATTGACAAATAAAATAAATAAAAGTAATTGCGAAAATGATGAAGTTCTGAACTACAAGTGTCCTCGAAAGCGCCACGCAGAAGTCGATGTAGATTTTAAAGGTAATAAAGGCCATGATTATATAAGCAAATGGAATTCACAACATACTTATAATTGTCAGCATCATCATGTCGCCTTATACTGTTAGAGTAGAGGCTCTTTAGTATATTTTTTGAAAATTTTGGTATCTATGTTTCCCTACCACACAAGTTGTATGTTTACCACGGCGGTTTCCGCAATTAGTCCTCATTTTTGGACCATTGTGCGTGTCTCAAATCATTCTCACTCCCTCCAGCCAACCTCGGTTAGTCTAGAAAGAGAGCAGCTTTGGGAGACTGCTGCAGGCTTCCGGAAACGATGCTGGCGACTGGAAAAGTGCCTGTTGGTGGGCCACACTCCTGCATTCCATGACGACATGCTATGGCGTTCTTTTGCCTCCATGCATCCTCTACATAGGGGGCTATCAGTTACTCCTTTTGTGTTTAGGTGCTTGTTTAGGGGACAGTGACCAGACAGGGTTCCTATAATCTTGTGTATTTGTTCCTATTTAGTCTGATAAGGGTGCGGGCAAGTCTCTTGTTTGCCTCTAGAACTGCGTTCTTTGTTTGCCAGCATCCTTCACCTGTTTCCACGCTGTGAAGTGTGTTTTTTGAGTTTTTTCACGCAGCCACGTTTTAATTTAGGCCTGAGGGCAGCAAGACCACTTTTGTGTCTGCTCTTCTCTTAGCCATTTCGTCTGCTGCGTCGTTTCCAATTAAGTTGCTGAACCTTTTATCCACTGCAAAGTTACCGTGTTGGTTACCGTAATGGGTTGAAGTGCATTGTGGCAGTCCATTATCAGGACAGAGTTTATTGTGTTGCTACGTCGGACTTAAAGCACTGATGCACTATCCGAGATGATTTCAATATTAAGGTTCTGATGTCTCTGACTGCAACCGCCTATTCCGCTCTGGTAATGCCAATACATTCCGACTGAAAGATTGTGCTTAGTTTGCCTAGGGTTTTCGATATTTTTATGTTCACAGCGTTCGAGAAGACTCCGGTTCCAGTAGCACTGTTGGTTTTGGATTGCTCGAGCCACTTGAGTGCGCTTTCATCACAGTATCGGACAGATACTTGGAGTAGGGGATCATCAAGCAAGCAGGAGATTTCGCTTTCTTGTTTGACTATACCCCGCCTTCCCTGCTACACAAATAAAATCATATACCTACATACAAGTGATGTGATGTGCGTAACCCGCAAGCTCATTAGCACAAATTAGTTAGATTATAGTTACCCGCAGGTTCGAGGGCAGGCCCATTGCAAATTGTTGGTAGGTGCTGTCACTGTGCTACCTATTTATCAATGCCTTACTTTACATGTCCACTGAAGCGACTGTACTTAATATCTGAATGTTAAGTATACATTATGTTTTTTTTATTTCAGGCCTTTGTCCAGTAGTTAAACTCTCTAGATTGGAATTCAGTAAATGGAATGTGCTAAAAGAAGATCTTAGTTCTTTGAATCAATTGAAAGAGGACCCCGTTTCGGGAATAAGGTAAGCAGGAAACCTTGTCGAGAGCATTTTTATAGACTTTATCAAAGTCCATTTTTTAAATTTATTTATAGTATTGCCTGATGAAGCAAAAACTGCGCAAATCAATATGGACTTTTTCATAGTATTACGTATACCTTTGAGGTGAGGCGAATTCCATAATTTTGAGGGAGGTAAGGTGATGTCGGGGTAGTCGGGGTACCAATTCTTGATTCTGATTTGGAGAAGCAACCGAATCAGAATCTACGAGTAGTATGGGTATCATCGTATAGCTAAATGCGACAATCTTGCTGACGAAGTCAAACACGTTATAGCAGAGTAAATATTTTCGAGAAATGTATGATTGTGCCCAGATCTTTAATACTGTTGGTGAGCCTGAGACAAGCTCAGCAGTGCCGATGACCAGATATAGGTCATCGGCACTGATGGTCGATATTAAGATGTCTAAAAAAGCAAAAGTAGCGGGAAGCGATATGGTCTTTGCTGAGATGATCAAACTGGTTGTTTGTTTACGACGCGCTGTTTATTATTAGCATAGTATTAGCCGCCTATATAAGGCAAGGATTGTGCGAACTACAGAGTCAGAGGCGGGTTACGAACATGGCTTAGACCGGTTTAGCAGCCGAATGTAAATAGGAAAATAGTTGAAAGGAGAATGAAGACGAAACCAAACAGAGGAGTATTCTGCGATGAAAACGCAGATTTATTTCGAAAGAGAGGAATACAATACAAAAGTTCATATTACGGTAGATGATGTTGGCCAGTACAGTTAATGAGAACGTATATCTTTGATGTGCTTTTAGTAAGGATTATACAAAGGTAGGTACGTCGCTGATAAACGGAGAAAAGTGAATGCAGGAAATATAGTGAAAGGAGCATTGAAAAACTTCTTGGAAACAAAAACCTAATAAGGCTGAAATTACAGCTCGCTACTCACAACACGATGTTGGTTCCGGGTCCCTGGTAATGTTCGGACGGAAGTAAGAGTTGGGTATGTCAGAAAGAATATGAAATCAATCTTGATAATCGACAATACTAGTGTTATGTAGAACTTGCGTAGTGACGTCCGCAGGCTGGGTTTGACTAAATGTAGAGTCGTTCTGAAAGACAGTGTTGGTGTAATAATTATTAACAGAGGAATGCTTCTTTAATTGAAACATTTGGCTAAAATATCAATACTGGTGGGCTTTTATGAATTTATAATAATGCAGAGAAAGTGCAAGATTGTTTAGACCATGGCTAATAGCGCTCTGATCTTTCTGAACCCGCACGGGTGAAACCTCTAGTAAAAAATCTGTACTACTCGAAATTAGCTACTATGATATCTATACTATACATTTAGTAAATCTGTGATGATTGGACGAGTGGTTGGTGCAGCGGCAGCGCTTCTACTCCAACAACTCCAAGGGGTTGAATCCCGATATATAATAATTATATATATTACTTTATTTGAACACCAATATTTATCATGGTTACTTATACTTTATTTAGTTATTTATGTTATAGTTGTACCAAAGTACAAGTTTTGGTTAGTAACTATGCGACTTAATAATTGTTGTGACTTGTCGGATTTTTTTTTATTCGAATACTTTTTTTGGCCATTTCAGTAATTCTACGAAACCCCTGTCGAGTAGAGAACAAGAGATAGAATATTTAGAGAATTTTCTGAACCGACAGCTGGATTGTAAAGAATCTGCATCAATATATATATCAGGGCAACCAGGCACTGGAAAAACAGCGAGTTTGTCGTATATACTGAAGTTACCAAAGGTAAGTACAATAATTGAATCAGGCAACTTATCGCTAACTAATGGCACCTTTACACTGTACCCAGATATTTAAATCATATATGAACCTACTTGAAACTATCCACGTTTTATTAGTGTGTGGTAATAATTTAATAACTAGTACATTACTTACGACTGAAACATAATTCCCTTGTATTTGTTTGTGTTCCTTGAATTATTAGAATGCTTTCTAAATGCATACGAAGGCATATTTTATACGTTGTGCCTATATAATTACCAAAATTGGGAAGATGTCAGTTGTGTGCGTCACTCCCGATGAGACTGAGCTCACTCTTCCCGACGCGACGTTGATAAAGGAGACGGGGCAAATTTGTATTGAAGTTCTTCCAAGAACATTGGTTCTTCGAGAAAAATGACACCTTGACCTCAGTACTCAGTATATTTCTGATAGCATGTTTTAGATAAGTACATAATTACCAAGGAAATTAAGCAACTTTGCTGTTTTTTTAAAGTATGTTTTTTTATATTCAGCAGTAAAATACACCACAGAAGGCAAATACAGTCAAGAATGCTTAGGACATTCTTGATTTCGGCAAATATTTGGTAAAATATATGTATGACAAAATGACATTTTTTCAAAACTAAATACCGCAATAGTATATATTCTTGGACCACGTCGCCCTGCCTCCTTTTAGAGCATCTGAAGTATGGCAAGGATTCAACTACAATTTAAATCTCTAATTATTATACCAAATCGCTGAATTTTCCAAAGAAACTTTCATGGGGAATTAGGTGAGGAATGGACCATGTCATGATCCCCCACATTCCTATTGTGAATTGGGACTGTGAACTACTGGGTGCTAACAATTGCAGATGCAACTGGGAAAAATAGCTTCACGACACTTCCGAGGCATCAAAGAACTCGAGATGGTAATATTTTGGATACCCCCGATCGCAGTCCAGACGCGTTAAACACTAGAATGTGCTTTGTAAGCAAATCCTTATCTTAAAAAACTATTATAAATTCTTATTTCAAGCTCATCGAGAAGCATTTATAGAAACATATTTTTTTCAACACACTTTCTCAAAAGATGCTTTTACAGAGGTTGTATACTTTTTCGTACACTAATCTAAGCGGCGCTGCGGGTGAGTGAGAGAGGAGGAGTATCTACATCAGAAAGTTGTTAAACTAAATGAGCACTGGAGATTGGTAGGTGAAAAGTGGATTAGAGGGTGAAAAGGGATTGGAGGGTAAAAAGGGGATTGGAGATTGTAAAGGGGATTCAAGGGAGAAAAGAGATTCGAGGGTGGAAAGGGATTTCGATGGTGAAAAAGGGATTGGAGGGTGAAAAGGAATTGAAGGGTAAAAAGGGAATTGGAGGGTGGAAAAGGGATTCGAGGGTGATAAGGTGATTGGTGGGTGATAATAAGGCATTGGTGGGTGATGATAAAGGATTGGTAGGTAATAATAACTGATTGCTGGGTTATAGTTTGGATTGACAGGTGATAATAGAGGATTGGTGGGTGATAGTGGAGATTGGTAAGTGAAATGGATTGGAGGGTGAAAAAAGGATTGGAGGGTGTAAATCGCATTCGAGGGTGAAAAGGGGATTAGCCAGTAAAAATGGGATTCCAGGGCTAAATGGGATTCGAGGGTGAAAAGAGGAATCGAAAGGTGAAAGGGATTCGAGGATTTGATAGAGGATTGCTGGGTGATAGTGGGGATTGGTAAGTGAATGCATTGGGGGGCGAAAAGGGGATTGGATGCCGTAAACGGGATTCGAAGGTGAAAAGGGATTCGAGGGTGAAATGGGTATTCGAGGGTGAAAAGGGGATTCAAGGGTGAAAAGGATGGAATGTGGTAAGGTGATTGTTGGGTGATAATAAGGGATTGGTGGAGTATAGTGGGGATTGTTGGGTGATAATAAGGGATTGGTGGGGTATAGTGGGGATTGATGGGTGATAATAAGGGATTGGTAGATATAGGTATTGTTTTCTCGCAAATGTGTTGAAAAATGTATGACATTAGTGCGGATTGCTATATACAAACTCGTGACTATATGCGTCTACTCCTTTGTAATAACCAATTTACCGCACTTGTATCATAATTAACTATTCCCGATTTAGTAATCGACCAGTCTATGTTTTTTTTTAAAAATGCCTCCCCAAATGTTATACATACACTTTTATATTAATCTTTTTTATGTTATATATAAATATAATTATATATGTGATGTATTTGTTTAGGTAGTTAAGGGTTACAAACAAGTGTACATCAACTGCACGATGATGAAATCGGCAAGAACTATTTACAATAGAATATGCCAAGAGCTGCACTTGAAGACTTCGGGGACGACGGAAAAAGCTTGTCTTAGCGCAATTGAAAAGTATTTAAAAAAGGACCATAAAATGACGTGAGTTTCTACATTAGGTTATACCAACTTAATTCTTTCATATAAAATAAAGTAAAAAAGACATATATATCTAGAAAAAAAAGTAACAAGTCCCAGGTACGAAGCTGCAAATATGGCAATAGTCTTTAATATGTATAATTATTCATAATGCAAAATTTCATTCTTATTTCACGCCAATTACTTATGTTATATTTCGCAACAAAAAGTAGCCTATTTCACTTAAGGTAACTATTATCTGCATTAGAACCAAATTCGTTTCGAACGAAAGTGGTTTAGGCGTGGAAGCTTTACAGACAGACAGATAGTCATAGCCATAGGGTACGGCCAGAGTGCACTCAGATTCAGATTCAGACTCAGAAAACAAGCGCGAGAAATAAACAGTGTAGTTTAAGCAGGGTGGCCATAGTGGCAGCAGGCAACCTGCTTAAACTACACTGTAGGTATATTTCTCGCGCTTGTTTTCTGAGTCTGAATCTGAATCTGAGAGCACTCTGGCCGTACCCATAGACTGTGTTCATAATGATTAGCATGGATTATTGTAAGGGTACCGATTAAATTTTTTCACTAATGATTTTTTTATAGTTACTTTATTTCATTGTTGATTGTGTAATGATGCTGAAGCACTTACCACTACAGATGTACCAAAAATGAAGCACTTTCATAAATACCTATACTAGATTTGTCATCGTTATCGGCTCATTAAAGTCCCCACTGCTAGGGCACAGGCCTTCCCTTTGGGATAGAATAGGTTAATTGGACCATGACCGCGGGCTCAGTGCGGATTGGTGGGTGTTAACGACTGCACATTGCCGGGTTTAAGCTTAACAAGCATTCTGAAGCAAGACAGCTTTTTGTTTTTCTTTTGCGTCAACGGCCTAACCGTCTTATAATAAATTAAAAAAGGTAAATTTAAAAAATCAAAATACCCGACTGCTTAATAATACTTCAAATAAAAACTGAAAAGAAAAAAACAAGTCCAGTAGTCTATAATTCTGTTAATAAGGAACAAAGCTACTTTAACAGTCGGGACCCACTGTTGAAAAATATTATGTATTCTTGAATATCTAATGGGTCCCGACTGTTAAAGTAGCTTTGTTCCTTATTAACAGAATTATAGACTACTGGACTTGTTTTTTTCTTTTCAGTTTTTATTTGAAGTATAAATAAGCAGTCGGGTATTTTGATTTTTTAAATTTACCTTTTTTTATTGGTAGTGTAAAGCTCGAATGAAGAGTACTCCCAGTAGTGCAATCATGGAAATTATTTTCCAATTTTTGTTTTGTTTAAAAAAATACCGAATAACGTATCACTGTTAAGCACAAATGCTAAGTAACTTTTACAAATATAATCAAATAAACCTATTACTTACTTTATTTGTAAAATCTTTTTCATCAATTAAATACTTATCTTATCCTAACTATATATACTAATATTATAAAGAGGCAAGATTTGTATGTTTGTAACATAAATAATCTGTCAAACTACTGAACCGGTTTCAAATATTAATTCATCATAAGCTACATTATTTATTATTACATTTTTCTTTATTTAAATACATTTTGTCCGAGTGACATAGGCTATATTTTATCCCGATAAATAAATTTCGCCCGTACAATGCCCGGGTGGATCACTAGGAAGTATAATATAATATTATAGATGCGAAAGTGAGTTTGTTTGTTGCGCTTCCGTGCCCTAATAGCTAAATCGAATATAATGAATTCCCATATAGAAGTAGATGGGAACATGGTTCTTAGCTACAACATGGCAATACTTAGGCGTAGGGTGATGAAAGGGGTGATTTACCTAAAAAAATCTACATTATTTACTTTGAATTTTGCAGAATTATTACAAAACCAATATTATCGCGAGCTGATTAATAAATACAGGGATTCCAATAAGTATGTACTTACTAGCGAAAAATGGGTCATTATATTAAGTAAACCTGTTTTGTAACATTAAGTAATATCGTTAAAAAAATGAAAAACAGTAAAATTATTCAATAATCAATAATCATAAATACCTATTATGATAATATATTTTTCATCATTTAATAAGAAGGAACTGTATCACAGTTTTATTGTTAGTACTTCGTATACGATCAGATACTGCGAATAGCCCTGTTTTTTTCTTTTACTTAGAACACCGCGCTATCACTTTGTCATCGTTGTAACTTTTTAAATATTTGTCGAAATGACATAGTGTAAAAAGCAAAGTTTATCGTCTTTAAATATCAAAAGCGATAAAAGTATTTGTTTTGATAAAAAATGATTTGTTAATACAAAATGTGCATTTTGGAAATAGATATCAAATAATATTTTAGTTTTGATTCACTATTTTAGCGGTAATGACTTACACATTAAAAATAGATATATGGTGTCACGGACTTTTTTTAGAACTATTTAAGAGATACATTTTCACTCTACATTACATTCATGTAACTTTTATTGTTTTCGCAGTGCAGGCCAAAATGGCTAGCAGATGGGAGATTTTTTCCGTCTTATGTGACACTTATTGTTATATATTGGTCAATTCACTCAATAACTACATAAATTATTATATATAATATACTGTTAAGTTTCATTAAAATCCATTCAGTATTTTTTAGGTGAAAGAGTAACAAAGATCCATACAAACGTAAGATTGAAATTAAAAGCGTAAGTGGTTAATATACAACTTTAAAGCGTCGTAGATCCTAAACAATCAGATAGAATGAAAAATGGTGTTAGGAACCTAAATATGATTTTTGATTATCTAGACAGTGATTCCCGATTCGACATATTTTGGAAACTTATTTTTTTTACTTCGTCACAATATGGCGCCTAATTTTGCCCATATTGAATTTTGATTACTATCATATCTTTAGTAGCACTCCCATGATTGAGACGAATCGATTGATGTATGAATCATCAAAATCGGTCCAGGTGTTTGGTCTCTAGTGTGCCACAAACGAACAAACATACATATATAGACTGTTAAACACATAACCCTCTCTGCGCGTCGCGCTTCGCGCTCTTGCATTGCGCAGCCGGGTAAAAAGGAAAGATATGGTACGCTCTTACTTCTGTCAAATAAAAAATGCTCCGACTCAACTCCATAAGCAAAACTCTCACACACTAACACACGCAACTACAAATAAACATTCAATCGAGCGAGCGAGACAGAACGATACACTTCAACGCAGCGCGAGCGCGACTGTGAGTCCGCGTCGCTTGGTAACCGACTGCCTCTTCTTTTCGCTTTACAAACGGCTGGTCTGCATTGTTGTCCTTTTCATGATAACAAATGGTTGGTCTGCATTGTTGTCCTTTTCATGATAACAAATGGTGAATGTAAGCGAATAACATTCGTGTCAAACCGTGATATTTGGGAAAAATCATTTTTATAGTTTTTAGAATTTAAAGTGATACCGTGGAATTTGTTCTTTTTGACATGGGATAAAGATATCTGCAATATTGTTATTGTACACATGCAGCGTGTTTGGATGTCAAATTGTGAATAAAGAGAATTGTGCTCTTGCACCTAATTTAAGCGGCGCACTTTTGAGACGTAACTGCCGTATCCACCCTTTTTGTATTAAACTAAGCTCAACGTGCTTACACAGAGTAGCTTGAGTTCATACATTTTTACACGACTGCCCAACAAAAAGAGTATTCAGGTTTCATGTATGTATGTACAATACTTTATGCTACCATAACTTCTAAACGCCTGAGCCGATTTAGATATTTATGTGGTATCGTCAAAATCCTTTCACGATGATTTACATACATAATTGTAATATTGACAATAAAAACATAAACAATTATTTATGTCAATTAAAAAAAGTCTTTTAATCATTACAATATAGGTATCATTTGAAAGGTCTTAATGAGACCATATCAAATATATAATAAACGGGTTTACCTGTAAAACGAGATAAATACTAGATTTTTTAAATGTTATTTTAACATTTTAATATTATTGGTTAATATTTCGACTGCGAAAGTTGCTTACCTTTCACGATCGCAGACCGAACGTGTTGAACACTATTGCCATCGACTCCTCCATTCAATTTGTACTTACTTACTTCTTATTTTGTTACAGCCTCTTAGTGTTAGACGAGATAGATCAGTTGGACAGTAAGCGTCAATCGGTCTTGTACAGTATATTCGAATGGCCCGCTATACCCAACTCTGGTATAGTACTTATCGGTATAGCGAATGCGTTAGATCTTACCGAACGCACGCTTCCTCGTCTCCAAGCGCGATGTTCTTTACGCCCTCGAACCCTTCACTTTGCCCCGTACACTAAGGAGCAGATCATAAATATATTCACTACGGTTCTCGCGGATGAAGATAGAAACAACGTGTTCTCACCAGTGGCCTTGCAAATGTTGGCGGGTGAGTAAATTACAATTTTATTACTATTCATGTTTAGGTATTTTACGTGATTTTACCAGCGGAACCGAAAGGCATTGTCTTGCTTGCCTGATGAAATTTAAATCAAAAAAGCGAACGCCCTACATTTCACCGAACACACGCTTCCTTGTCTCCGAGTGCGATTTTCTTTACGCCCGTGAACCTTTCACTTTGCCCCTTATACTAAGGATCAATTCATAAATATATTCACCATGGTTCTGGCGGATGAAGACAGAAACAACTTGTTCTTACTAGTCGCCTTGCAAATATTTAGAAAAGAAGGTGAGAAAATTTTATTACTAGCCTAAATCCCGTCTGGAGCGTGACCTACCAGTACCAGCTGTAAATCTAAATCATCCAGGGACTCCCTGGGTCCTCCCAGGGGTGGGTAGGTCCTTCATTCCGAAGAGCCATTGAGCTTGCCCAATAGGCTGGCTGGTAATATTAAGGAGAGATGTGCCACATAACTTAATTTCTTATCATAATCATAATCAAAATCATTTATTCAGTTTAGGCTGTTACAAGCACATATGAATGTCTAGAAGCTACGCCATCGGTTCGTAAATCTACGGCGGGAGACCTTGTACTGAGAAGAACCGGCAAGAAACTCAGCAAGGGCTGTTTTTTTCTCCCTGTTTTATTATTTACAGAGTCGTCAAATTGAAAAATGACTTCAGAGGTGATTCATGAAGTCACTTTTCATTACATAATTATTAAATATACATTAATTGTTTACCTGCATTTTGATTGCTGTGTCATACAGTATAAATACAAATAGTGTTATTTATATTCAGTGTGAGTAAACATTAACTTCAATATTAAGGAAGTTAGGGCAGACTCATCTCCGCTGGCAGCACCCGTTCACGAGCATGACGCATGAACCAGCCATCGCTTCGCTCAACCATATTTTAGGGAACGTAACGACCCGCCTCACACGACACCGCCGAAGAGACTATTATGAGAGCATGACTACCCATAACTACCCATACTAACTACAACATATTGACTTAAATTAAGGTCATTTACCTGTAAGACACAACAAACAATTACAAAACAAAGCAAAGGAGAAATCACGACCACGCCGTTTTGTCAATCAAATATTCTTAAACAGTCTGATAATCTTACTTAAGTTATTAACTTTATATACAGCTTTCAGTTTAATTATAGTATTGTCAACACATAATTCATAATTTAAATCATATAGAAATACCCGTTGGAATGGTTGGAACAGTTCATACCCAAGCATTTTTGTCTGTAATATAATCAGATACTTTATAATATGCTTTCTTAACTAGTGATTTTTTAATGGTCGATTTAAATTTAGTCATGCTTAACTCTTGAATATTGCTTGGAACTTTATTGTAAAAGCGAACACTAAGACCTCTAAACGAATTATTGATTTTGTGGAGCCTAATAGCAGGTAAAGTTAAGTTATTTTTATTTCTAGTATTATATGTATGTATTTCACTATTTTTAGTAAACAAATTAACATTTTTTTTTACAAATACTAAGTTGTCATATATGTATTGTGATGCAACTGTCAATATACCTATTTCTTTAAACTTATCTCTTAATGAATCCTTAACTTTAAGATTATAAATTGATCGAATAGCCCTCTTCTGCAGCACAAATATAGTTTGAATGTCGGCGGCATTTCCCCACAGTAAAATACCGTAAGACATTACACTATGAAAATAACTAAAGTAGACTAATCTGGCAGTTTCTATATCCGTTAACTGCCGTATTTTCATTACAGCATATGCTGCAGAACTAAGTCTCTTCGACAATCCATCAATATGTGGGCCCCACTGCAGCTTAGAATCTAGTGTGATTCCTTAGAACACTGTGGTATCTACAGAGCTCATATGTCGATCCTTTATATTTACATTAGTTTTTACCTGTTTCACATTAGGTAATTACAAATTTCAAACACTTAGTTTTCCCTTCATTTAGCATCAAATTATTAACATTGAACCAGTGGACTACCTTCGAAATAGACCTGTTCACGTCATCAATTTGTGACTCCCTACGTTTAATTTTAAACAAAAGTGAAGTGTCATCCGCAAACAATACTATTTCGTGGTTATCCTTTACAAAATAGGGCAAGTCATTGATATAAATTAAAAATAAGAAAGGACCAAGGATTGAGCCCTGCGGAACTCCCATCTTAACCGACGAACCAGGAGATTTTACTCCATTGATGTCAACCCTCTGAATCCTATTACTCAAATAGGATACAATAAGATCCAGAGTGGTATCTCTAAATCCATAGTGGTGAAGTTTCCTGATCAATGTTTCATGAAAAACGCAATCAAAAGCCTTTGATAAGTCACAAAATACACCTAATGCATCTTGCGAGTTCTCCCAGGCATCAAAAATTTGCTGTACAAGCTCAACACCGGCATCGGTTGTTGAGCGACCCCTTGTGAAACCAAATTGTTTACTATGAAGAATGTTATTACTATAAAAATATGATTGCATTTGATCTAGCATATTTTTTTCAAAAATCTTACTAAAGGTGGGTAACACGGATATAGGTCTAAAGTTTGTGGGGTCAGATGTGCTACCCGATTTATGTAATGGAGTTATTTTACTGAGTTTCATTAGATCAGGAAAAACACCACAGTCAATGCTAGCCAAAATAGGAGCTATTGTCTCAATTACTGATCCAGAAACATCCACGGAGTTACCCCACAGATCCGCAGTTTTCTTTTTATTTTATTGGTTGAAATATTTTATTACACCTTTAATCTAGAAGGGAAGTATGCATCACGCAACATATACCAAAATTATATTGAAATCACAATCGGTCCCAGCCGCTCGAAGGAGTTCAGTACCCTTAGCACGAACCAATATCGCATTCGAATAGTTGAGTTCGATCTCGATACGCGTCGAATATCAAGAAGTTGTGTATGGAAATTTGGACAGCGCCGCAACGGGCGTAACGAGAATTAAAAATCTCCTATACAAAACTTCTTGCCTTAATGTGTATCGAGATCGAATTGGATATTGATTCGTGCTTAGGGTACAGTACCCTTAGCACGAACCAATATCGATTACGAATAGTTTGCTAGTGCGAAATGTCACTGTCAAATTTTGTATGGAAACTTAAACAGCAGCGCCACAACGGACGTAACGAGAACTAATAAATAATCAGTAGGTACATATTTGACAATGAAAGAACATTGGGCAAAAATGTATGGACGCTGCACCCACGTCCGCCACGGCTTAAACTACATTTGTTTGAAAGTTATTATAGTCATGATCATACGAGTATGTGACAAAGCGCATCAAATTCCATCCCGGGGGTCTTTAGTTATTTTGGTTAAATAAGTACAAGTTAATACATACCTATAATTAATGAACATTAATAAAATAAGGGAATTAATTTAGTTAATTCGACTACATAGAGGGCTCAGGTATTATGGGAGTACTCCACAAGGTGCAAGGGTGCCCCCTTGTGTTATTCTGCCGCGTTAGAGTAAATCCAAAAATCCCCGCATGGGTTGGGGTTTTTTCAAACAGTCTGTTCGTAATAGTAAATTCTCTTCTATATAAAACGGAGCGACCACAAATCACACAAACTTGTCCACTCTTCGAAGAAAACGTGATTTCAGTTTATCCATACTAATTGACAAAACCGATAATCGTGTTCCAATGTCCAAAGCGTGTTAGATAAAAATCAATCAAGTGACCGGGAGCGCACAATCACAACGAAGTAAGACGAGTCGACAATATACAAATGCAAGTCCTTAAACCCCCGTAAACCGTTTTGAGGTGTTTCAGTAAGTGTAAGCGCAGGATGGTCGGCAGGCTTTGTCATCTATATCTGGTTGTATAGTACGATATGGCATATTATTATGGTTACTAATAATATAAAATGAAGGCACTATAAAGTGAATTTATTTAGCTACTTAAATTTTAAGTGAAATCACTTTACATGGGCATATTTTATATGCCCATTTGTCATATCTTTTGACTACCAGGATATTTTTTTTACGGTGTCATAATAAAAAAGGCTAGGTTTTCATAGATCTATCGATTCATACTAATTACATTGTTGGCGGAGCTGGGTGCGTTTTGCCCATTTTCCTTTCGCATTCGCAAAATATTCTACAATATTATCTGTACCCTTAGCATGAACGAATTTAATATTGGTTGGTGCTAAGGGTACAGATAATATTGTAGAATCAAACTACAGTGCTACCTACTGGGACCAGATTTTTTGTAAATCAAATCAAAATATATACCCAATCACTGGCACTCTTCCAATTATGGGCACTGTTCAGTTTAGTTACAAAGAACAAGGAAATAGTAACTCGGTACATATTAAAAAGGAAAACCTAGTCTGGTTTAAAATTTGAAAATTTACTTCACTATTCCGATAATCTTTTTATTATTATATTGTTTCGATAATAGCCAGGAGTGCCAATGATTGGGTTGTTTCTCCTAGGTCAGTAAATAATGGCTTATATGGTAACAACTGCAGATGCAATTGGGACCAACAGCTAAACGCCTGCCTTCCCAAGCATGGAGGAGCTCGAATTTTAAAAACTATACTTACGGTGAATTATAAAAAATATTTCAAAAGACAAAATGCTTTGTTTTAGCTAAAATCGCTGCTGTCTCTGGTGACATGCGAAGAGCTTTGGACATAGGCAGAAGGGTGATAGAGTTAGCGAGGCGAAATAAGTTTCACGAAAATCAATCAATCGATAAAATGATGAAAGACACCCAAGTGACCGTAGAATTGAAACAAGTGTTGGAAGTCCTGAACGATGTTTATGGTGGCTCGAGAAAAATGGAAAACGAAGTTGAGGAGGGATTCCCAATGCAACAGAAACTGATTCTATGCAGTTTAATGTTAATGCTGACTAAAGGGAAGAATAGGGATATTGTGATGGGGAAACTTCATGATGTTTACAAGAGGTAAGTTTTTTGTTTTAATTATTAATGTACTAGATTTAGTTTAACTCGGTCGAGGGGGTCTACCGCCTAACAGGATTGCTATGGCTATCTATACCTTATGATTTCATTTTGTTATATCTATTTATAAAAGGTTTTCAAATACCTCACGCTCATTTTCTTTAATATTGTTATTACCAATGCACAAAAAAATAAAGAGACATAGAAAATTATTTCTTACTTTTTAGTAGTTATGTTTTATGAAATAGGTTATAATGTTTTGTTAAAAAAGGATATATTTTTCCCTTTTTATAAGCTGAGCAATATCAACTTACTAAAGATGTATGTGTGACCTGCAATCTCTTTTCCATATTTCGTAAAATAACCAAACACGATGTGTGTGCTGTTCGTATTCGAGGAGTTCCGTTGTTTATATCCAAAAGTATTTATCAGATCTTCACTTAATTAAAATGAGAACATCTCGCTAACAAACTCTTCCAAACAAAAAAAGAAGCATCAAAATCGGAGATATGGGCGAACAACAATAAAAACACTATAAATGACGAATTTAGAACCTCCTCCTTTAGGAAGTCGGTTAAAAAACGAGAGCTGCCTGTACAATTCGCCATCAACTTGTGGCCAATACTTATAACATGACATGTACTGTGGTAAATTTTCATCACATTAATAATATTACAATTAAACAAAAGCCATAAAATGTGCAACAATTTTTCATAATTATTAGTTTCATTGCAATAAAATTGTCCAATCTACATAAAAAAGCGAGTGTCGTTATGACCGCACAACTGAAGTGAAACTTGTTTAGCTTCAATTTTCAAAATCATAAACTTGATTTGTTGATACAATAAAAACCACCAATCCGCGCTGGGTCCGTTATCACTCTCCAATCGGCACTGGATCCATTATCACCCACCAATCCGCACTGGGTCCATTGTCATCCACCAATCCGCGCGGGGTCCGTTATCACCCACCAATCCGCACTGGGTCCGTTATCACCCACCAATCCGTTCTGGGTCCGTTATCATCCACCAATCCGCACTGAGTGCGTTAACACCTACCAATCCGCACTGAGTACATTGTTACCCACCAATCCGCGCTGGGTCTTTTATCACCCGCCAATCACACTGGGTCCGTTATCATCCATCCATCCGCGCTGGGTCCGTTATCATCCACCAATCCGTTCTGGGTCCGTAATCATCCACCAATCTGCACTGGGTGCGTTATCACCCACCAATCCGCACTGGGTCCATTGTCACCCACCAATCCGCACTGGTTCCATTGTCACCTACCAATCGCGCTGGGTCTGTTATCACCCGCCAATCACACTGGGTCCGTTATCACCCACCAATCTGGGCTGGGTCCGTTATCACCCACCAAACCGCACGTGGTCCGTCATCATCTACCAATCCACACTAGGTCCGTTATTACCCACCAATCCGCGCTGGGTCCTTTATCACCCACCAATTCGCAACGTGGTCCTTTATCACCCACCAATCTGCGCTGGGTCCTTTATCACCCACCAATTCGCACGTGGTCCGTTATTACCCACCAAACTGCACGTGGTCCGTTATCATCTACCAATGCACACTAGGTCCGTTATTACCCACCACTCCGCACTGGGTCCATTGTCACCCACCAATCCGCACGTGGTCCGTTATCATCTACCAATGCACACTAGGTCCGTTATAACCCACGCACTGGGTCCATTGTCACCCACCAATCCGCGCTGGGTCCGTTATCACCCACCAATCCGCACTGGGTCCGTTATCACCCACCAATCCGCGCTGGGTCCGTTATCACTCGCCAATCCGCACTGGGTCCATTACCACCCTCCAATCCACACTGGGTCTATTATCACCTACCATGCACTAGATTCATGTATTTTGTGACGAGTATAAATTGTTCATTGTTTACCGATGAGTCACCGTTACGCGCGTAACGCAAAAATCGTCACACATCCGCCAGTTTACCCCCTATGCTAGCCTTAATAAGTTTCACTTCAAAAACAAATCGCCAACCTTCCAGATTGGCTATTTCCGTTAAGTTATAGGTTTAAGTTAAATTGATAAGGTAGCCCTACATTTTGATTCCTAAACACTCTTGATACAAAATAAGTACAAAAGGCGTTCGTTCGTAGAGGGGTTTTCAATAAGAACCGGTACCGGTAAAGGGTTTATTAAATTTAAATTGGAATTAAATATTTTATGTTCAATAAAATTATATTTGCTTTTTTTTGAAGCTTGGGCATTTTGTATGGAATACGAAATGTGTTAAATGATCACATGGTATGGTCGCCTGATAGCGAGATGTCTTTCATCACGAAATTCAAGAAACGCTTAAGCCCCTAGCACAAAATAGGCATCAGATAGTCACTTTTTCAGAACGCAACAGCCTTTCATGAATCTTTTAAAAATTTCAAAGCCCAAACCACTAGCTTCAAATTATTTAATTATTTGAGAAATAGTGTCCCCCATAAGACTTCAAGTTTCCCGTAACACACGAAATGTTTGATAAATTGAACTACCGTTTTTTATAAAGACTGCTTTATTAAATGCTGAACTTTTATTAATTTATCTATAAAAAAATTGCGCCAATAGACGATCTAATATGTCCACCATTCGCTGTCAAAGTTACCCTGTTCCTACTAAAATGCCCATTTTAATGGTCTAGCTATTAGATTATAGAATAGGTGGCGGCAAACTTCTCGAGCAAAACCACAGATAAAATTGCGTAGTAAACGTTTTTGTATCTGGTATTGATACTGAGCCGGCTTCCTTGTCTATGGTTGCTGCTCAAAAAGTTTCCCTGGGTGTATAATATGTTGATTTGGACAAATGCAGGGTGGCGGCAGCACGCAACATTGCGCCGCTGGACATGGGCGAGATGGTGGGCGCGTGTTCATTACTAGAGGCGAGCGGGGCCGTGCGTGTGGTGGGAACGGGGGCGGGGGCGGGAGGGGCGCGGGCCCGCCGCCTGCGCCTGCAGTGGGACGAGGCGGAGCTGGCAGGCGCGCTGAAGGACAAGCCAATGCTGGCCTCCATACTAGCCGACGTCAACTGTCTCGCGCCGTCTTCATAGACGCACGCTCACTGCTAGCGTGGCGGGGGCGGGTTGTGGGCCCGCCGCCTGCGCCTGCAGTGGGACGAGGCGGAGCTGGCGGGTGCGCTGAAAGATGGCCGGCCGATGGCGGCCAGCATGGGCTTGCCATGCTGGCCGCCATACCAGCCGACGTCAACTGCTTCGCGCCTGATATGCAAGTCCGTGTGCGTACGTACCTAGAATATAGGTAATAAACATCTTGAGCTAAACTATAGTCGAACAAACTCGCGCAGTAAACGTTTTTGTATGTAAAATTGCTACTGCGCAGGCTTCGTTACCTATACTAGTTTGTGCTCAAGACGTTTGCCGCTACCAATAAGTAGTAAATTACACGGCCGCACTCAGAGACTTCAATTCAATATTATGGTTTTTTTAATTAAAGTTTCTATCGTAAAAGTGATAGATATCATTTAACGTTTTAACATTTAATTCATAAGTTCTGGCCGATGCAAGGTTGTGGCCGAGCCATAAGTACTTTACATTGTATTGCGAAGCTCTCCAAATTATTACACCACATTCTATATTGGATGCAGATAATCTTGGCTGTGACATGATGCGATTAATCCTTTACTTAATTAAAATAAAATAGGGAATAATGACATACACATGTGTGAATGTTCCTAAATCGAATATGGGCAAAAAGCATGTAAAATGTAACTTAAATGTTAATTGACGTCTCTGAGTATGGCAGTTAGTAGGAAATTTTAAGATAGAAATGTGAAAGAGTGGCAGTTGTTTTAGTATTAAGTGACGTTAATAATTTGGTTTTACTTAGTTAAGATTTAAAAATGTTACGCCAATAGAGGCACGATTGGAGATGCAAGACATTCACAAATGAACGCTATGAATGTGTGCGTTATATACGCTTAATTTTTTTTTACTTTCTTTCGAATTAGTAAAAGTCAAAGAATTCATACAACGGCAACTAGGTATTTAAATTCCTTGGTAAAAGTGACTTTCTGACACATGGTTGCCATATGTCCATGGTTGGATTAAGATGCAGACACTAAGGGCTGATGATGACGATCACTCTCAGCAGATCCATTAGCCAGATCCATGATGGATCTAGTTGAAAATGATAATGATAGATGTAGATCGTATTAAGAGGATGTTGATGGGCTACCACTTATTAACTAGATTTCGTTGTTTCTATTGTGTTTAATTTTTAAAAGATGATTTCGATACTTTAATGTGGCAGGTCTTCAGCATCAACTTATAAGGTATTAGTTCTAAAAAGTGACCGAAGTATACCGATTTCAGTAGACTTATGTAGTTTTTTTTATGATTAATGAGTATAAACAGTTGACAGCGGGTGGTGAGCACACCTCTATTCGTCCCATTGTTTTAAAATTATTGGCTTAAATTTCTATAGAGCCCCGCTCATAGGTTTTTTCGTCGCGCGGGGCGCAATAATTAGTTCAGAGTAACGGCCAAACAGTAATCAAACAAAAAACGGCTAAATAATTCCGATAGTTGCTTTAGGGTCAAGTCACAGGGAGACGCGCAATCGCCCTCTAGGTAGCGATACAAAATAAAATATTACCCACCTTAAAAAAAAGATGAACGTTTACGGCGTAAAGCGACGTAATAAAATGTGATTTTTGAGTACCAAAGTTACATTTTCAATCGCTATCCTATAAAGTGAGCGCCTCGTCGCGTCTCGATGTCAACTGACCCCAAAACACAGGCAACACTGACAACCAGTGCCGTCTTAAACTTATTGGAGGCCCTGAGCATATTAGGATAATGGGGCCGTTATGACTTCCGTTTAGTGATTTAATAGGAACTAGGGACTTTGTATTTGACCCCTATCGATCGCGGGGCCCTGGGCACTTGCCCAAAGTGCCCACTGGGAAAGACGGGTCTGCTGACAAAAAAACAAACAAAACTGGCTACCGGTGTGACCAGCGCATGTGTGCGCTTGTGTATCATCATTATGAACTTATTAATGTTCCCAATTGCTTGGGCACAAGCACGGATATTCCTTACGGAATGATGATACACATCATACGCGACTACTGTAAGGCTCGCTCGTTTTTTTTTATTACCCATCTTATGTCCACCCATTGCGAAAGAAACTTATCTTCGACGATCGCAGTCGAATGCGCTGACTACAGCACTATCGAACGCACTTGTGGTTGTCATGGAAGAAGTAGTTGGCATATATTCCAACTAGTTCTACTATCAGTCCCCTAAAGGGGTCCGTGGGTCTTTGGTTAAGTAGGTAATTAATAACTAATTAGGTACATTAGTAAGATCTTTGACTCTATCATTTGTTTGTATCATAATTTAATTTGACGGTTAAATAGCCACCTTTGCATAATAAAAGCGAATTCCAACATTACAATTGTGTTTCAATCTAAAGAAAAAAATACTAGAAAAAAATTCTACGTGGATTAGACAGCAGACGGGACCGCGTCCGCGTCCTGGTCCGCGTGGGTTTTTTTCTAGCAAAATGTTATTTAGATTTAAACATCTAGCAATTAAATGCTTAAAAAAATGAAATATAATTTATTATGTTTAATATTCTTAATGGAAAAGCTTCTACATGGAATTACAAATTATTAAAGATTATCATCACATATTTTGTTGTAGCTTGGGTCATGATATTTACGAATGTCTTACGAGTGTCTATAAAAATCTGTCTTAAAGAAATCGGGAATTATGTAACCACCTTAACACCTCGAATAGAGGCAAGATATTATACTAAAGTACGTTTTCATTAATGTTAATAAATGCGACGCAAATCCGGCACGCTCTCCTCATCCGTTGGAGGTCGTCATACAAGTTCTTTGATGAAAGGAAATAAAATAAACGTTTCAATAAAGCTAAATGTCGTGAGGTTTTTTATATTAATGTTTAAAATGACTGCCAAATTGTAATTCTTGCATAAACAACTAAAATAGCGTATCTTTCCTTTGTTTACTTTAAAATTTAACGATTAAATAAAATAAAAATTGTTGGTGAATAATAGTATAGTTGTTGTTACCAATTTACAATATAGTTTTTAATATTTTTTTTATATTCAACTACCGTATATTAGACGGTATATTAATATTTGGTATGTTTATAACTGAAAAAATATGGTTTAATTGTTATTTTGTATGCCTATAATTTTTGCCGAAGTAATAAAGATCTGCCAGTAGTTAACTCATAACTTTACGTAATACGTATTATCGTATAGCCAACTTCTTGGCAAAGATTGTCCCAGTAGACAGCAGCTAGCCTTTACTAAAATATAATAAAAGTTTATTAGTAGTTATAGAAGTAATTGACTGCATTTCGCAAATAACAATCGCGCACGAAATTCACTCGCACACAGCATCCGTTGACCCGATTTTCACATCATTAATCACGATCAAGATCAAAGGTACCTAACTTGTGTTTCACGATTCGATTGTCTCCGCGGCATCTGAGATACTCCCAAAGAAATAAAGCTACGATAAGTGACTCTACACTCCCTTCCGTTCATGTTACATCACTTATAATGTGCAATACGAAGAAACAGCGTTCATATTTTTTTATGACGACGGACAATACTATTAAAACTCATAAAATTTAAGAGGCAAGTTATATTAATGGAAACAGAATGGTCCGGTCCATCTTGATGGCGCGCATAATTAGTAGAAACCACAAAAACTGTTTGCCATTCACAAACTTCTATCTCATACGAGATTTAATATCTTTTGTTAGTCACTTATAGGCATTATAACGAAGTATCGTTGTATGATCGAAGCCGAGTCAATGAAACCATATTTTTTTCTTCTGAAGTCACCCATTAATCCGCGCTGGGCCCACGTGGTCAGGCCATGGCCAGTTCTCCATATTCTATCCAAAAGGGAAACCCATACCCCAGCAGTGTGGATACTTATAGACTGATGATGATGTAAGTCTTATGTGTTTTAATTGACAACATGTTCGCTGTACATATAAAATTTTTTTTGGTGAATTAGACGCACTGCTGATTCTCTGATACCGGCTTTGTTTTTGATAAAATAAAATTTAATACTCTAACGTCTGTGCTTACAGATCTCAATTTAATTCAATGCTCTATGAGGTCACGAGTTTTCTTTGTCTATTGTTATCTCAGCTGCTGCGATAGTGAAAGTGACATCATCAATTTTTTTCAAACTCAAAATGACGACGATAAAATTTTATCGAATAACTTACAAATGGACTAATGTTTGGAATGTAATCCGTTTTTTTTTCGATTTTTTTAAGATGAGCTTTGTACACGACGGCAGAGTCGTGAAGTCGTGCCTGTAAAAGTATGGAATATGTGTTGCCGAATAATTTAGCGAGATAATTTTAAATTAATTTAATTGAGTACTTATCACGTAAAGATCAATCTATTAAAATTGTTTTATCTCAACGTGCACGGTACTCTACCTTAAGCTCAATCATACCAAATCCGCCGACCCGTCGACATAGCTCGTCTTTTTGCAGTATGTACTCGTATGCTGGTGATGGCCGCAGATGACCTTTACAGCGTCACATTTACAGGGTTAGAGGCGACAGGATCCAACTTGCAATATGTAAAGCTGCATAAAGAGGCGTGTCGGTGGTTTCAATGTGTATTGCGTACATTACGTTGCGCATTACTCCTGTTAGGCCTTCGTTATTATAATAGTCTGTAAACTGTAGCTACAAGACCTAAAGTTTCTGGTTTTAAATGTTATAGTTACAAAATCTTCGTGTTTGAAATGAGCTTCTCGTTAAGGTGGTCGTCCATTCACATTACTATTTGCTCATTTATGTTGTTTGTAAGAGCCCAATTGACAATAATGTGTATTTATTAGACAATATTGTAAACGCCGATCGTAGAGGCAGTGTCCATGTTAATTGAATGCCTGTTTTATTATTATTAACCGTAAATTAAGTTTTTGTATGAAATTCGACATCAATTAATTTAATATTTATTAATATGGACTTTTAAGTAGGTTTGTTATGTACGAGTTTATGTTAAAGACTGATTATATCATTATATTTAACGTTTATTATCATTTTTAAGTGCAAAAAGATTGTAGCATCTGTGCATTTTACCCCAAAACATATTGGCGAAAATAATTGATAATTTTCTAGAATATAAAATCATGTGTTTTATTAAGATATGAACTCTTTGTATGTTATTTGTAATAGTAAAAAAATGATTTTACTCCGTCATTGTTTTTTATTGTGTATGTTCGACTTAGGTGTGAATAAACTCAAATGAAAACGATATTAGTTTTATTAATTTATTTTATTCTAATTCTTCTAAGTTAATCCTACTTTGTGCAAAACAAGGCTTTTTACAAAAGAATTGTATAATTCTGAAAAATACAAGGTATCGAAGAGAAGATGACTGACCATAGATTGCGACAGTTACGATAAACAATATCTATACAATGCAATATGATTGTGTTCGCTCTTGTATCTGTCGCAAAAAAACAACAAATTCCTCAAGGAAACCATTATAAATTAGCACCAAAATAAATAAGGTACTGCAGGATGTTGGTGATATTTTGTTAAATTAATAAATAACTTAAATAATGATAGTCACATAATTTTGTACAATGTCAGCCATCTAAAATTAGAAGGCGAGTGTGATCGATGCAGTGTCAGGGGGGGACTCATAGGCGAAGGGCGGGGTTGCGCGAGCGCACGAAGTTGAGCAGCTCGTCGCTGTCCTCGCAGACGAACGGCTTAACGTGATGGCAGGCGACGTCGTGCCACTTGATGCCGTCGTTGTAGAAGTTGTTCAGAATCGACAAGCAAGACTCGTCGTTACCCTGCATAATAAAGAAAAGTAATCGGTAAAATGACTGAGTGATATTTGGTTCATTCATGTCAGGCCTGTGAGCGAAGGTTCAAGATGAAATGTATTATCATCAGCCTTTTATTGCCCCCACTGCTGGAGTTCAGGTTTTTCATATAGATGGAATAAGGAGATTGGGCCATGGCCATTGGATTGGTGGGAGCTAAGGACTAGATGCAGCCGGGACCAACTGCTTAACGTGCCTTCCGAAGCCCGGAGGAGCACGAGATAGTAAATTTTTGGTCACCTACCCAATAACCCACTATGTTGCTTCACTTCAACGATCGCAGACGAACGCGCTAACCACTCGCGCCATCGACATCCTCATATGAAATATATATAATAACTTTAAATTATCTAATTTACCTACTGGCGTTCAGTTCCTAACTAATATTAAAAATGTGGAAGAAACTGTTCGCCTCTGTGTATGTCTGCTGCGCTCTCATTCCTAAATCATTCAAAGCGATTTTATAAATTGATACGGGGATAAATAAGACTTCAGAAAAAATTACATCCTTTTAGTCGCACAAAATAAGGACTAGTTCACGCAGAGACGCGACGCGGTCTGGTGTAAACTAACCCTAAATCTATAAGGGATTTGTCCCTTTGTTACCAAAATGACTGACGAACCCTAAAAAATACAATATGAAAGCAAGCCATTAATTGTTGAGGTAGGTAATAAGTTCACGCCTCCCTCTTTGACCGGCCCGTCGTGAAAGGCGATTTCGATATTTCAATGAGGCACGACGGAGATTTCCATGAAAACAACTTTCAACTTTGTTTATGACGCAAACTTTTTGGTAAAACGAATTGAAAATGCGCCGTGACGTTTCACTTTCTTTGCCTACATAATCGGAGTGTAAGAAACTTGAAATTAAGAACAACAACCTCCTCGTGATTCATTTTTATGCTTATTCGTTTGCGGCGGAAAGTATTTTAATGACTATTAACGATTTTTTACGAAAGTTTATATTGGATAATATATTACATGCATACATATTCAGAGTTGCTTAGATCATAAGGTTTATAAGTAATCGGCTGAACCGAACGCTTGTACTTTTAAAACCTACCGAAAGTACCTAACTAGCTAAGCCAATGAGCAATAAATCAGGAAAACATTGAAGTGTTCGTTTTCTGTATTTATCCTATCTGGGTGTTCAATTTTTACTCCTTCCTTCATCTCATATTCTCAGATCGCGGAAGGTGTCATCCGGGGGAAAATCCTCAAACCACGGAGATGGTTTCTTGGGCTATGGAGTAGGCACATTATATCAGCAGAAAAGAAGTGCGTACCTATAGGTACAATAAATGATATAAGCGTATACCCGGGACATTCATCCCCTATTTAAAATCCTTAATTTATTTATTATGTTTTGACGACAAAAAGTAGCCTTGTATCATCTCTAAGATCCCATCTATCTCTATACCAAGGCATTAACCGGTTTAGGCGGAAAGCGTAACAAACACATTCACTTATAACAATAATAATATTTATAGCATAGTTACGTGGCCAGTCTTAACTGTATGCCACGAATACACCCACGCTCCAGGGATCTCAGAACATGCAGTGCGTGTTGGGTGACCAGAGCAGAAGTATTGTCTGGTTTTTACTGTTAGGTAGGACCCTGGTGATTTCACCGAGCGCCAGGGCTGGTTGAAATGAGTAGGGAGGAGTCCCAGATACCTTCTTCTTGCTCCCCCGGTGGCTAAAGGGTGCTTAAGGACATTTCCCAGACACAGAAAAGGTTTGTAAAGATGTATAATAGCATAGTTAGCATTGTAAAGATGTATGTAGGGTAAACTGACCTGCGCAGCTTCCCTGTTGTCGGGTTGGGCCTGTCCGTACCCGCCGGTGTAGGACCAGTCGCCGGTGTTGCGCTGGGTGGTGGGGCCGATCTTGGCGCCTGAGCCCGACCAGAACCAACCGTTCACATTCGGGGGCTGCAGGTCAGGCCTGTCGCAACCGGCGAAGTTGCACTTGCGACCGGACGTCCAGATGAAACGGACGTTACCCCGAGCGATTCTCTGCTTTATGAATTCGTTTTCCTGCAAGTAAAATTATAATGTTGTTAAGGCAAAAGAAAGGGGTTTTTTATAAAATACGCTATCATCAAATAATAATTGTAACAGTATTAATAACGCCCGAAGAGCTTTGTGAATAAGTAGTAGGTAAATAAGCTTAAAAACGAGTAACATATGACCTAACGGAATATCCGGTTGTGTACCTACTCAGATAGGTAGGTAACTAAAAGATTTAACAAAGTTGCGTTCCTCGCAGAAACTAATAATTGGATACCGAGAGCAGTATCCTCTACAATATCATTTATATTAATATCTGTTTTAGACGTACAATTATGAAATTTATTCCTTCACTTCAGTTCAGTACTACATTCAGTAGATAATAATTTCATCTACAAATAAAACTGCATAATTAAGTATTATGATTAGTTAAATATTCATAAATAAATACCTACGTTGGTAGTTTTAGCACAGAATACATTAAGCGATATAGAAACAGGCTGTACAATATAAAAAATTATTAAATAGCAACAGCCGCAAGTATAATTTCAGGTTTAAAGCAACGTTAATATCGTTGGTTTAAAGTTCTAAAATCTTGTTTTGCCGTAACTTTATGACGGTCTGTGTGCTATTATGCTTATCGTTATTATGTCCTTTGCATGACAAGGATTCCACTTTAATGTTTTATAACGGAAAAAATATATGATAATAACAACTATAACATAATTTGGAAGAAGCTGTATATTAATTTTATTATCTTAGTTCGCTAATTCATTTGATGATTTGTATCAAAGACAAAAAAGGAAAAAGAAGCTTTTGATAAAAAAAAATCAATTCAAAGTAATGACAAATGGCAACAACATGATGGGCTGAATCGAAGATCCGTTTCGTGTCGTGTAATTTACATCGCGGAACTAGCTTCTTTGAGCTTGCCAGAAAAAAGTGTTACTTCTCGTTTGAATCGAGGGATCTTGGTGCAAAAACCTTGACCATAGTTAGGTAGAGCTAACGTTATTGAAAGTACCACCGGTCCATACTAGGAATAGGTTGGTACTTATGGCAGGCCAGGACATGGAGGTTAGTTGCTCGCGTCCGGTACAACAAGTGGGCAATACGGCTGCAACAGGAATGTGTGCCGTGTGCCACTTGCGCGGCCCGGGCGACGGCTGACGGCGACTCGTGCGTCGAGCCGTGCCGCGTTCGGGCGTTGCACCCCTTTCACGCGACCACGTCTTCAACGCTCTACAAATCGGATCAATGTAATCGCCTAGCGTAATGAATATGCATGGTACTCATAGACACAGTCGTGTATTTAGAGAACAAGGTTGGTTCGCGATGCGCATCGTTCGTCACGCGATTCCGGATGTTGGGATATCCAGTCTCTCTGATAAAGCCGATAACGGATAGCGAAGGCATGGCAGGGTATTGCAAAGTTCGTTGACATCTCGCAACCGCGACAGGAAGCGTTTAGAGAAAATGTGTATACTCCGCTCGTGTTGCCTGTTTGCTTAAATGTGATGTGAAGTTGTGAATACAATAACAGCACGGCTTTTTGCTATCGCGAAGCATACAATCGAGACATATCTATGTTGATGTTACATACATTAAAACGTAGATACGTCCTCCTGACTACCTAGTCAGCGCAAAAAATCCTCAGTAATACACATTGATTCGGTATTATAAAAAAGTGTGAAAATGATGTTATCTCATGTTCATTGTTCCCTTCCGGTGAATCAGATATTCGTATATCTTTTTGGTATAGTAGAGTCGGCACATATCAAGGCCTGCTTTGTTTTAAATTCTTTTTTTAAACAATACACATATCACATTCATAATCGAGAGATATTATGCCCACACACTCCAACTTGCACACACTTCGACTGTAAACCGGAATGTGTCCCGGGTTTCATTTCTGGTTGTTTCTTTAAGTATAAATTTTAATAAATATTCTTTTCACCCGACTACGGTAAAGCCTTAAAATATAATTATGATATCAGGGAAGGCAATTTTAACTGTCTATATTTGTATGGACAACGCAGCGGTTAAACTGCTGAAAATTTTTTGGATTGTGGTGTGCCCGGTGTCAATCGATTTATAGTCCGGTCAAGTCCAGTATAAGTTTGTGTCTAGATAACAATTAATTTTTGCTGTTATATCGTACTTAAATATTATGTCACGTAAGAAGGGAAAACAATTTGAGATTACATGATTAATTAACGTCTGTAGCGTGATTTTTTCGTAGTCGACTTTTAATCTTCAACTACTTCAACCAAAATTTATGTAATAACTTAGAACCTAGATCACTGAACAATAAACAAACACAAAAGATCATAATTTTTCACAAAGTATGTCAAGTAGAAACGAGAAATTGATTGCAGAATTATGCTAATTTGTATAGAAAACAAAAAAAGTGAATTTTTAAACACTTTGTCATCTGCAATAGTCAACGGCAAATAGGTGTTATTTAAATTAAATGTAACTATATAGTTGGTTCGTGTAACTATTTGTTATTCATGTATGTTGAGACATGGAGATGTTTGACCTCGGCTTGACCTGGACGAGTCATCATTATCCGTAAATAAAACAGTAATTGTAGGTATTTACATGGTTGCAAAACATCAAATCAAGATTCTTCAGCAAGTTTCTGTACCCATGTGCTAATTTGGAAAGTAAGCGTATCACGATTGACCCTGGATCGTGATGTATCCGAGAGGAGATTGTACATTGATAAATTAAATTTATAGTTAGATTGCAGGCTGAATATTTTGCAATGTTCATTAACAATTATTTGAAATATACCTACCAAAAACCATTAAATATAATTAAAAGAGATCTAGCAGCTTTAGATAACTGAGATCAACAGGCAAGATCCGGTCAAAGATGAGTTTATGTTTTAGTTTTTTTTTCTTCCCGTGGGTGTCGTAAAAGGCGACTAAGGGATATCGGAGCTTCCATCCGCTCCTCTGGTGGTAGGGTGCCTAACACCCGCCTGGTTTGCTACCACCGTGCGCATGGTGAAAAACCCGTGAAGTGCTTCTCGCGCGTTTCGGGGTCAGCCAGCGTACAACCAGGGCTCGAGTGGAGGTTGTCTCGACGGATTCGGTCCAGGGCGAGGCATCCGTCGAACCGATGCCGGGAGGACTGCATCGACCCGCCGGCCAGGGAGACCCGTAGAAACGGCTGTCCCGCTGGCCGCCCGTGGCACAGTTCAGGGGCCCGAGCGTTCCTAACCAGTTCGCGAGGCTGCCCTATCATGTCACGCATAATCTCGGGGTGGACCGTCGTGCCGGTTGGTGACCGGGACGTGGGGTCCCGGCAGCCACATCCGGGAGGGTGCGGGGGCCCTTCCGTCCGGCGGGTCGGCGTATATCCCCTGCACTCAATCATTCGGGGAAACATGCCTTCCTAATTTGCCCAGTCTTGTCGCGACAAAGTCTACTCGTTTCACGTCTCTTTTTTACTTCCATAATGGCAGCTCTTAAAACAAAGTTTGGACGTACAGCGGTGCACACCCCCACGCCTTCAACGCTGTTTGAGGTCGAGTTCTGCAACATACGCGGACTCCACTCTAACCTCAATGCTGTCCACCACCACCTTGAGACAGCACGGCCAGCATTGTTGTTCCTGACGGAGACACAAATACTTCCGCCTGCTGACACAGGCTACCTTAACTATCCCGGCTACGTGCTTGAAGAGTCCTTCAAAGCGAAAGCCGGTGTATGCCTGTATGTTCGGGCGGATGTTTGTTGTCGCCGTCTCCGCTGCTTGGAAGATCCCACCTTTTCCATATTGGGGGTACACGTCGACTCAGGTCCCCAGGCCAGAGTCTACGTGTGCCTCTACAGATCCCATACTGGCGATGTTGAGACAACTCGACTTTTCGAACATCTTAGTCGGGCAGCAGATGACGCGCAGGAGCAATTTCCCAATGCAGAATTGGTGTTTTTGGGGGACTTTAATGCTCACTACAATTTGTGGTTAAGTTCCTCGAAAACTGACCATGCAGGGATCTCTGCTCACGCGTTCGCTCTCACGCATGACTTGAAGCAACTGGTCGATCAGCCCACCAGGATTCCAGATATTTCATGTCAAGCGCCTTCATTGCTGAACCTTCTGCTCACGACCCATCCACAGGGCTATCAGGTTGTGGTAGGAGCCCTACTGGGCTCTTTAGGTCACTGCCTGATATATGCCAAAGCGCCACAGGTCAAACTCCGCGTCCAACGGTGGTAAAACGCCGGATCTGGCACTATGGGTCGGCAGATTGGGACGGTATGTGTGACTACTTTGCGTCCGTCCCTTGGAAGCAGCGCTGCTTCAGTGACAAGGACCTATCGGTCAGTGCCATTGCTATTGCTGAGGAGATTGCAATGGGTATGGAATACTATATTCCTCATTCCAATCTCATCAGTAAGGGCACACGTAACCTCTGGTTCAATCACGACTGTGCTGAAGCTGCTTCGCGTAAGCAAGCGGCATATCGTGCTTGGATCAGAGGCCGCGCTCTTAAGAATCCCGGGGTCGATTCACTAAAAGCAGCCTACAATATTGCTTCCAAGGCCTGTAAGAAGGCATACATCAGAGCGGATGCCCAGCGGGTTTCACGTGTTGGTCACTAACTTATAACGCATCCTACGGGCTCCCGTAGCTATTGGCGTTTGGCCAAAGCCGTGCAAAAGAACTTCTGCCAGCCCTCGCTGCCACCTCTGACATGCCCAGACGGAACACTAGCTCATAAGCCGCAGGAGAAAGCCAATTTACTGGCAAAACTCTTTGCGACTATGGCAAAACTCTTTGCGACTAACTCCCGAATCGATGATTGCAATGCACTGCCACCATTATTACCTCATTGTGGCACAACGATGCTGATATCAAAATCAGGCAGCGTGAGGTTCGTGCCGAATTGCAATCACACGACGTCCGGAAAGCTAGTGGACCTGATGGCATCCCAGCAGTAGTACTGAAAAAATGTGCAGTGGAGTTGTCTCCCGTGCTCACGCGTTTGTACCAATGCTCGTATTCTTTGGGGCGTGTGCCGGAGACTTGGAGAGATGCTAACGTGCAATCGGTGCCCAAAAAAGGGGATCGCACAGACCCGGCAAACTACCGGCCAATAGCAGTCACCTCAGTCTTATGTAAAGTCCTAGAAAAGGTCCATAACAACCATCTGACCCGCTACCTAGAGGATCACTCCCTGATTAATGATCGTTTTAGACCGAAACGATCGACGGGTGATCTTCTAGCGTACTTGACTCATATCTGGGATGAGGCTATCGACAAGCGGGGCGAGTCGTTGGCTATCAGCCTAGACATTGCCAAGGCATTCGACAGGGTCTGGCACAAAAGCCTTCTCTCCAAGCTTCCGGCATACGGTCTGCCGGCCCAGTTCTGTTCTTGGGTAGCTGACTTCCTGCATGAGCGTAGAATTCGTGTCCTTACGGATGGTAGCAGTTCGCGGATCATATCAGTGAATGCCGGCGTTCCCCAGGGCTCCGTCCTATCCCCCACTCTCTTATATTATGCAGACGACAGTAGAGTGCATGCGGGGTATCTCGGACAAGCAGCGGCTGGGCAGGCGGTAACCAAGGAGAAACGGGAGAATCTAGTCCTTGAACTCAATCAGGCTTTGGACCACATTTCTGAATGGGGTACCAAGAACTTGGTTGAGTTCAATGCTAAAAAAACCCAGGTCTGCGCTTTCACGGCAAAAACGTCGCCATTCCTTTTATGTCCTTCTCTTCAGGGCACAACACTGGAGCTAGAGAGCAGTATCACCATGCTCGGTATGGAGATTCGCTGTGACTTAAATCCAAAAAATTACATCGTAAGTGTGATAAAAACAGCCTCACGCAAACTCGGAGTCCTGAACAAGGTGCGGCGCTTTTTTCGCGCCCGAGCAACTATGCTTGTTATATAAGACGCAGGTGCGGTCTTGCGTGGAATATTGCTTGCACCTCTGGGATGGCTCCGCCAAGTACTTGCTCGATGCTTTGGATAGGTTACAGCGGCGCGCAATACGCATCATAAGCGATGAGGAGGTGACTAAACACCTCGAGCCTCTTCAATTACGCCGTGACGTGGCGTCACTAAGCGCGTTCTATCGTCTGTACCACGGCGAGTGTTTTGAGGAGTTATTCTCTCTTATTCCACCTTCCCCTTTCCTTCAGAGGACCACACGCGCTGGCTTACGTTGTCACCGTCTAACTGTGGCTACAATTCCAACGCGTACAAAGAATTTTGGTGACTCATTTCTTTGTCGTACTATCTGTAAATGGAATGCTCTGTCCGCTCACGTGTTCCCTCCCTCTTACAACCTGGGATCCTTTAAAAGAGGCGTGAAGAAGCAACATGCAGGCCGCCAGGGTGAGGATGGCTGGTGTGGCAGGTAGAACTGCTGTATCAGCTATCTTCGCGTCTGGACTTCACCTCCACTTAACATCAGGTGGGGTGGAGTCATTTGTCGGACCTATCTAAAAAAAAAAACTATTCCTAAAAAAATCAATAATCAGTTACGACAGCGAAAAGCAACAGTTGTAATCCGAACAATTCCTTAGAACATAAGTGATATGTGATCCATGATAAATACGATAGAAAATGCAGAGCGAAGCTACATCTCTACACAAAGCCAACGGATCAAGCTTATCGGAAAGGTTCTGGTCATCGACAATTCGAGCGGCTCGGCGCTGGGTGCGATCCAGAGGGAGAAGCTGGTACTGCGGTGCCCCCGCCCAAAGGTGAGAACGGTTTTCCATGTGAGGCCGAAACTGTGCTTTATATATACTGGGTACGTATTGGCATTATTTTTAATATGTATGAATTATAAGTTTTTTTACCTGTGGCGTCTCAAGTGAGACGGCGTCCATGCAGTGGCGACGGCAAATGTTCCTTGCATCCAGCCAGTCCACTTCTAAGTTGCGCGTCGGTGCGTGCTCCCAGCTGAAGAAGTAAGAGTGCAACACGCCACGCGCATCCCTGTACGTTGAGTGTCGGACCCCTGCACAGAGAGAAAGAAATTAAAATATCATAGTGATCTGCCTTCCATTGGCGTAGCTAGGGATTATTCCTAGGGAGGGCAACCATCCGCTTAAATAAACTTCTGGTATAGTTGATGTTACTGTTAAGTATTCGAATTATCGGGAAGAGGGGTTTCTAGGGTGTATAAATCTTTCTCTTCAATCACTCTACATAACTGATTAGCTGAAAACTGCATTATACTCCGTAGTACGAGTCATACTGTGTGAAAATCAATGAGCCGTAATTTAACGACATAAAAGCATGGTCGCGATGTACTATGGAACACTTTATAAGTAATTAATGATTTTATTAAAGAGTACAGCGGCAATTGACCGTATCGAATGATTTTAGAACATGCTATTTTCTATTTCTAGTTGTCGTTTTTGACATAAATTTTTATCTTTGGCGTTCAAAGGATGCACCTTGCTTTAAAAATTCAATTTGAAAGAAATAACATAATTACTGACAAAATAAACAAGTGTAAGTGAAGTACTTAGGGCTCAATTCAATTACACTAGGTCGCTAGCCCGTATTCCGGTACACGAAGACATAATCGAATTGGAGCACCCGAAGCAATATTTTCACTGGAATACGAGTTAGAAGACGGAGTCAGGTAACCAAAACGAAAACTACCCGAATACGGGCGTACTCGACTCCGTCCCCCCATGACAACGGCTAACTAGAGCCGAGGTCCGAGTCTCAGAGACGCCCTCTAGTTGAGTCGACCTCCTCAGGTTCGATTGGTCTAGAGACTCCAGACGGAGAGGAAACTCCCCCCGTGCGGAGATTCCACCGGCCTGGAATACCTCTAGAGGCACACGCCAATTCTCGCCTTGAGGTCCTCTTAGGATCTCGCCGTCCCCAAACCCGGTGACGCTGTGAAGGTCATCTGCGACCAACAGCATACACACTAAAAAAACGATTCCGTTCATTTACACTTGGTCGTTTACCCGAATTCCATTGGCAATCGTATTCGGGCCAACGACCAAGTGTTATTGAGCCATTACAGAAGTGACCATAAAGTCAAACAAAAGACATTACTTATTGAATGGAAATCGTTTAGTGTAGGTACCTATTAGGCACGTACTGTGCTTAGACTTATGTATTACAGGCTATATTTCGAAATGGTTTTAAACAAAATCTTTTGTCGTTACCCTCTTTACAAAGCCTTCTAAACGCTTTTCTTATACCTGTTTCACAAATAATAATGAGACTGAGAAAAGTAACTGAGCTTTTATTAAATATAATTATATTTATCATCATCGGCCCATTAATGACCCGACTGCTGGGGCATAGGCCTTTCCGGCTTTAATATGGATGGAATAGGGGGATTGGGCCATGACCCACCATGCGGACCCAGTGCGGATTGGTTAACAACAAAAAAAACTAAACGTAATAATAGCTACGATTATTTTTAATTGTTTAGATAGTTAAGTCATAAAATAAAGTTTTAGTGAAGGTAAGACTATAGATTTGTGGTGAATACTTAAAATTTATTGCTCCTATTGACTTGGATATAATGAACTATATTCGAGGTCCTATCAACCAACTTTCAAGGTTGGTCAAAATAGACCTATATAAATAATTACATTAAAAATACTAATTCATCTGCTGTCATCTTTTATGTTCGCCACCGCATTACCATGCATTACAGTCATTACTTATGGCTTAGACCTGAATTGTATGTAACAATATGTGTAAACGACATCCCTGATGCCCAATTGTATATTCAATGTGTAATTGTCCAATTCAATGACCATTCTGATAATAGTGCAAATGATACGTAATAAACCTCTCGGCCTAAGACGAGGTATTAACGGCCGTGAAATCGTATGCAATCAAACCAAACCCGTCGTCAGGTCATTCAATGAAGCGTCAATTTCGTAACTAGAAAGTGTCTGTTTTGAACCTCTCTCTAACTAATCTCGTCATATACGATTGCACACTTCTCCGCACACCTCTGCCAAAAATATGACGTTACGTGGTGGAATGCAACGCTTAAGTACCGGAAGCAATTGATAATATTGTTCCGCAAAATTTTCCCAAATGTCAGTTTATGTAATAATTTTGTGCACGATTTCATGTAGAAATTAATAGCAACAACTATATCGAGATTCTCATGGAATTATAATTACATAATCAGTTCCTTCTGTCTGTTTGTCTTGAAGAAAGTAAATAGGCAGGTTCGTGAGATGCGCACCGTAACTTGTAACATCTCGGCTTTGAGGAGAAAGTCGTAACCAAAGAATATCTCCTGTTTCAATATTTTTGTTATGCCACATTTTTTAGAATTAAATATTATGAAATTGGAATTGTTTTTAGCGAATCTTATGTATCAAAAGATGTTACATTTTATAAATACAGATTTTAAAACGTATTACAACTTTAAAGCTTTTACATTAGGTAGGAAGGTGTAATGAACTCTGGACTCGATATTTCAGAGCGACTACAAATTTTGGTTGCCAAGAAACGTGGTGAATGGACTTTGTTATCGTAAGTGTATTATTATTTTGGAGGCTGGATGTTTTGCAATAGACATAAAGGATCTTTGTTTGCATTGTGTGCTCTGAGAGTATTCTCGGTTTGAATGTATATCGATCGCTATTGTAGCGCTGTGTCATTGCGCACGCACCCATGTCGTTGCCGCAGAAACGGCATAGGGCCGCACCTCCTATGCGGGCATAACATTGCGAAAGCTGAGCTGTTTTCCACAAACACTTTATTAGTTTAACTTTATTTATATACGATTGGTCATCAATAACGTTAGTCAAAGAAATCTTAGCACGTTTTTTGTAAGTATTGAAAAAATTTTTCCCATTATTAAATAGAAATAAAAAATAAGTGATTTGTGTAAGTAGGTAATATTATAATTTAAAAATCAGGATCTGGCGAACAAAACCGTATAATTACATCAAATTAAATTTTACAGGAGCAGTAAAAAACTGAATGAGATACCTAAAGTGAGCTTATGGCGTGATTTCTAATTTAGTAATTTTAACACGATTTTGATTGAAATGAGATGAAATTTAAATTCAGCTTGCCCAAAACCTCCGGGCTGTAAAAATAAAGTATTATATGGTCAAAACCATAGGCGTAATAATTATGCCGTTTTGTTCGCCAGCTCCACAAATAACATCTCCATTAAAACATCGTTAATGTGTGCAATTATATCAATTAGCAGTAATGGATGCGCCTTGATGCGACATTTCTAATTCAAAATGTTATTTATGTCACTATAAGTTATTTATAAAATGGCTATTAGGTCAAGCAAGCCTATTACACACCTTGTAAGCTCCTTGAAACCTACTTCTTTTACCCTCAAACTCTAGTACGCTGTTTGAACTACAATATTACAAATAACATTTATTTGGGCATTGTGCTTTTAAGAACTACATTATTTATTATTCTCTCATCTAACCTGCAGACTTGCCATCCTAGTTACCTGTGCCGGCTACTTTAAAATTATAGAGAAAAACGGCAAGTAACATTATCGAACCTGAAAAATCTCATTGTCTTATTTGAGTAAAAATCTGTATACAAATACTAATATTTTTTTCTTAACAAACTGCATAAAATCATACATCTGCGAGCTTTCTATTTATTAATCGTGTCGTATTAGCTTAGCGGAAAATTTATAAGTCAAGGTATTTCCGGAACACCATTTAGTACAATAGTATAAAATCACCTTCGCAGCACAAATATTTTTAATGGAAATATTATAAAAACTATATCCCTATTCCTTAGCTAAATTGAAATAAGCTGAGTTTCCTTAAATATATCTTCAGTTAGTTTAGTTCAGTACAGCCCCTTTAAATTAACTCTATAGATGCATATATGGATACTTTGACATAACATTAATAGGTTAATTTTAAACAAATTCTCGGTGAAAATGTCAACACAGCAGCCCATGAATAAGTCGGACTTGTTAAAACTATCATAAATTCAACTCTCAATGAAATATACCAAATTCGCTTCTATATGCAGTTATTTGTATGGAAGGGGGAATATTGTTAAGCTATAAATAACCAGCAATATATTACGTCACCATCATGTACTCGACTCGATCAGCTAACTTGTGAGGACTACTGAGAGTTTCGAGATGATTCTTAAAGATACATACTGTTTGCGCAACTTCTAGGGTCAGGCAAGGCTAGTCGGCGCTGAGCTTCTGCAAGGCACAACATGGCCATCAGGGCGGCCGCAGCCAGGCAAACGTGCCGGCTCATCTGTGGAAACAATATTTACATTGTACTGTACTTAATGATATAAAAAGGTGTGGGATAACCTTTTCTTAAAAAACACTATACACCATGAAATTTGTGTTATCTGAGAAGCTTTAGTGATCTTTTTCCAAAAATGATTTTTTTTTTCATATTTTTTTTTCGAAACTTGTCTACACTTTTATTCAGTAATTGTGCAATTACTTTTGTATTTTATTTGTCATAAATTGATTCAAATAAAACTACTTTTAGGATCAATTCCATAATAGGTATAGAAAATATTATTTACTTATCTGCGCCGTTTCGGATATTTTGTAAACGATATTAATCTATATTTTTGTATGGGGGTGAAGTACGTTTACTGTTTATAACTGGTTACGCTATTTTTATTTATATGATTTTAAGTTTCTCATTTAACTTAAAATTTACGGTAACATCAAAAATCCAATTGATCAAGTCTTGTAGTACCTATAGTTCTATTATAGAATAAAGAGTAAAAGAGAATCGACAAAAAAAGAACTGGTAGGTATATACCTAAATGTGCACTATAATCTTCGGACTTTGACTTCACAAATACCTTAGGTATGTATCTTCTCTACCTTTTGTTCAATAAGTAAATAAAGTAAGTACTCTTATTTTTTACGAAAATTACATTTTACATGAGACGTTAGTTACCTAATTCATACAAGAAAATTGGAAAATTTCTTTGCAACTATTTAAAGAAATGTCACAAGGTGCTTGAAGTACCTATTCAGTGACACATTTTACAGATTTTTCATCATGAAGTCTTTAAATTTCTGAGCACAAATTTTTGTAAATATTTCAGAGCACGGTATTTTAAAAGTTCACCAATTTAAGAAATGCTACTGTAATTGGAAATCAAAGTCAAAATTCTGTATTTAATAAAAAAATAAAGATAAGTATTTAAATGCATTCTTGGTAATTGTAATTCGCACCCTTAACACACCAAGCCGCACCTGTCATACCTCGACGGTTGCGACGAAAGTGGTTACGGGTTACTCGACAAGTCCGTATTATGAGTTCGCTTTCTTTTATTTATGCAGACCTCGAATGCCCGAGGACAATCGATACGTGAGATGAATTTATTTTGTTGTATTTGTGAAAGCAAAACACGCTTTGCTGACCTCCTTGCTGCGAGTTTAAACGTTTGCGTGAAAAGCTGTATATGTAATGCGAGAAATCTCGAAAATTTGGGACGTTAAGTCCCAAACAGAAGTCCCGTTAACAGAATGTTTAATCTTTTCTTAATAAATTAAAAACTTACTAATTGATTTAGCTATATAACTATGTAGGATCTAGTAATAAACTATTTAAGCAGTTAAATTATTTAAAAAGTGTATAAAAGGCAATCTTCTTCACACGTAACAATAGAACAAATGATGTAATTCAAAGTGTAACCTAATGTGAGAAAAATTTATATCTATCAACACCATTAATCAGGAAAGTCAAAGAAGTTATCAGCAGTCTACAGGTCATCTGTTCTTGAGTAAACTTTAATCGATAACAAACATAACTCTTTATACTTATGTTCCGTTTCATACTAATGAAGTTTAAACATAAAGTTGATATATCAATGAATTAACTGCAATATTTATTACAATCATGAAAGATTTCCATAGTCAGCCGGCCCTGTCAGGAGTAGCTGAGCAAGTACAAACAAGCATAATTTTATTTAAAAAATATTAAAATAGACGAATGTGTACATTTAATCATTATCTCCATTGATAAAAATATGCACGACACGATTCGTTTCAACGACGTATCCCGCCTTGAAAATACCTTACTTCTCGAATCACCTATTATGACAATATCACGCACAAATAAATATTATTTCCGTTTAAACTCCTATCATGGGGTTCACTGAAAGACGTTTTGAAAGAGGTTCATTGTAGGTACCTCTGAAGGTTTATGTAGCGGGTGATGAGTTAGCTTAGCGACGCTCGAGCGGTGTCGATGTGCGCGAGTTGACGCGAGCGAGTAGCGCGGCGATGGCGGAGGGACTGGCGCGCCCGGAGAATCTCCTCTCTAATTAAGCCTCTGGCATTCATTCACTTTCACTTCCAATATGCACGAGAGAGGAGCTCAGCACATTACGCCTCTTCATCATGCAGGACCCAGAGACCTTCTGGAGGTCGAAGCAGAACCGAACATTGCGTAACAATATTTGTAGAAGGTGTAGACTTGTTTTGTATTTATATCAATAAACATGATTACCATAATATAGATAGTAGTGCTTTTGTTATTATTATAAATTTCCAATCAGTAAATTCTTCCGCAATCATATTTTACTTGTATGTACAGTAGTTACGTACTGTATCAAATTATTCGAAACGAAATTTCTTATGGAAACTATTAAATTGATATAAATAAGTACATAACATTATAGATAATTATAAAATATAAGTATATAAGCTTTAGATATCAGGTCCGATTGGTAGGTAATGAGTATAATCCACTCCTACCTATATTGTTATTGTAAATATATATTATATTGCAAATATAGTTTAAATGTAGATATAAAATTATTTAAATAAATATTAATGTAAAATATTATTAAATGAATTTAAATTAAAGTAAAGCTAGGAAAGTCGCCTACAGTGGTATCATCTACATATTGCGGTACTGTTTGTATTGAGCGATGTTTAATTAATTTCGGTCAAGCTCAATTCACTTACCTGCCAACACTTCGATTTAGGTTTACCTAAGATTTGGTTCATTTTGAATGACTTCCTTTTATAATTCATAGGAAATTCAAAATTAACAATTACAGATGTATATATAGCTCTTTAAGTAGGTAGGTACTTCAACCGTGTCCTATCCTATATCACCAAATCGACACATGTAAACCGACGGTTTGTTTTAGGGTGATCTATTATATCTAATTTTTCTTTAAACGAAAAGTGAGTGATTTCAAAGGAGAAAATTCGTTCTTAATTTTCTCCCTTATAAGAATTCATGCTTTCCAGGTTTTGCGGAGAGCCATTATGTAACTAACAACGAAAACATTACCATTCTTACACATCACCGATTTCTTCTCAAAAATAATTGATAATTTGACAAATATATCGACTTAAAAATTACCCTTATTTCACAACATAAGTAATTGTCGTTAAAATAAATTATGCATAATTGTACCAAAATGTTACATAATTATATTAAATAGGACGAAATAGTGCACAGTTATAGACTATGTCATACTGGAATTATAGATACGAGCGCCGTAAAGCTTACGTTACCTATTTGAAAGGGTGAATTATGAATTCTTTTTAAATACTATTTAAGTAACTAAAATGGATTCCTTCTAGTCTTTCAATATTTTCTATTCAGTGCATACGACAATGGGTCTAGGTATTTTGTATAGCAGAACTTTTAATGTCAATATTATTATACATAACAGATGATGGTATAAACTTCATTTCGCAGAACATCATTTTGACATTCACTCATTTAGCAGACATTCCAACGCATAATTTTGTAACCAAGAATCATGTTTAGGCATAAATTTAATATCAACAAGAATTAAAAATCAGAACCATCAATCATAGCAGAAAGTTCACAGTCAGAATCTTTTTTTGGCATACAAATATTTAACTTTTCCTAAAATAAAATAATCACTTAAAAACATTTTGCCAAGTGTGTTATGCCAGATGAATTTCGGAGCAACGAGATTCTGCCAGATAGCTGGAACCCCACGACAATACCAGCTGCAATAGGTAGTACCGATACCATTCTTATGTTTTTGCGTACCAGTTATTTATAAACAATAGTAATAAAACGTAATGCATTAACAAACGAAACGTATCTAAAACATGTAGTTTTACGATGTACGAAACGTATCTAAAACATGTAGTTTTAGATACGTTTCGTTAAGAGGGGTAACGGTTCGGCATATTTGACCGCGCGATTACTAAAGAACGGTAGGTTAATGATTGCACTAAAAGGACTATAAACGCTACAAGGGCTAGAGACGCAATCGCATTGGCCGATCATATGATAGGTCACCATAAATTTTGGTGGCACGCTATATTTCTGTGCGCTAGGCCGTAGGCGTGGGTCCTTCTGTATCGGCAGTTGTTAGCACCCCCGAATCCATACTGGACACGCGTGATGTATCATTCTCCCTATTCCATATACATAAAAGCTGTTTGTGATGAAGGTGTTGGGAAGACATGTCTATGGTTTGTTTTTGGAGTCTAAGATAATTTTAGGCGAATATGAAATACATCATTTTATGAAGAAAAAAAACAAATAGTGATTTTTTTTTTGACAAAAAAGCTTTTTATATGGTTGTCGATAGAAAATAAGAACGACCCATTTAACTGTAAGTAGCGCTACAGATGATGACAGAAAGAAAAGACATCAACGAGCTACAAAATACAAACCGTGATTAATTTAACTTTTCTTAATAAAATACGACATTTAGTATTTTTTTATTAATATGAATTCAAAATTAGGCTCCATTTATAATGTTGTTCAGCTACTTCAGAGTGTTTTCTGAAATATATTTATTTATATTCCGGTATGCAGTTCTGTGATAAGAAGAATGGCAATAGCGAAAACAACAAGCAAGGTGAGAGTATGAGAAATAATTTAAACAAAATTTATAGATAACGATAAAAAACATATTGCTCAAACAAAATCTAAAATTATAATGTTTAAAAATACTTACGTATTAATATTAGTTTTCAATGCTAATTTAACGGACTTAAATAAACATGACAAAATTGTACTATTAATCGTACAACTATGTAAACAAGTACAACAATCTAATATGCAGTCGTATAGTTTTAGTTAGTAAAAACAAGTCAGTTTATAAGCATCCTTTTAAACATTACATACTGTGCTCGGCACCAGAGATATATTTTTTCAAATAATAAGTAAGAATAAAAAAAAATATCTTACTGTCATAATTTAAAAGCTATATTTGAAATTTTTAGTACATTTCTTAGCGAATAGCAAAAACTGGAGTTATTATGCCGGTACTTCACACGGCTTTTTGTAAACCTGCAATAAAAATGACAAATAGCAGACATGTGAAGTGCTAATATTAGAATCACATTGTAATATTAACAAAAAAGGTACTTGACAGTTTATAAATCATAGATCCATTTCCATATCTACCTTTCACCTTTGGCAACGAAATTATAAGTTTATTTCGTGAATACTCCTGCACTCAAATTTTTTTAACTTTAGTAAATTATGTATAAAAAATCGATTCAAAGGCGGGTAATTTAACATTTCTGAAATGAGAAAGGTATGTTATTTGATTATGTAGTATTCAAATTATCCCGGAAATTGTGTACATATTCTTTTAGCGCATAATAATCTGTAATGCCATATTGGTTAGGTAAGACTTGAGCCATAGTATACACGGTATGGAAGTTAAGTGTCTAACAAGAGGTTAAGCTATCCAAAACCTGTCTACTCCAACTGACTTTAAGTTTTATCTTGCTTTACTTACGTGTACAATCGATTAACAAAATTTTAATTTTCGTACCACTTGGTAAGATTTTTTTTATCAATTAGAAAAGGTAATTAATAAAGAAATTCTTACCACCCCATCTTGAACCCAACTGTGGAATCTTACTCACCAACGAACCACAATATCACCAAAAGATAGTGTTAAATTGGTTCCTGTGTCCTTTTTTAAAGCAGGAGATGTTTCTCCAAACGGATGCGCCGCCCCAATTCGAATACGAAACGTAACTAAAACATGTAGTGTTAATGCACTACATTTTATTACTATTGTTTATAAATAACTGGTACACAAAAACATATAGATGACATCAGTACTACCTATCTTATTGAAAAAAAACATCTCAGTCTGCTACGGGGTATTTTTCATAGTAAAGTTCCCATGACCTTTACTTATTTTGATAAGAATTCATAAATGTTGATATTATATGTCCAACCAATTTAAGTTATTTTTCAATATAAAAAAATGCTTTTGTGACATAAATATAAAAGTTAGACATATGCTGTCATCGACTGTTTTGTAGGTATTATCAAGCTCTACAACTTTTCTCTAGAACTCAATCATTATATCTCTCATCGCTAAGGCAGCGTCCTTAAGATACGTTTTCGTACAATTGTTTTTTCTCCGACTTATTTTGCATAATCATATGACACTCACAAAAATATATAGCCTGCACTCACAAATAACGCGTGGCTTTCTATTGGCTTCTATTCTATTTTGAAAATTTATTTTTTTACCAATAAAAGTTGGTAAAAATATTTTTACCAACCAAATTTTCAAAATCTGTTCAGTAGATCCAGAGATTAGAATAGATTAAATCCCCCCTAACAAACTCACACTCTTTATAATGTTAGTAATAGATATATATTGACCATGATCTTTATCTAAATTTACTTGAGGCTATACACATGTAAGTATATTATTAATTATAGAGGAGTAAAAGGATTTCATCAGTTGACCCCGTCGCTACCTTGTGATTTGCGATTACGATTTACATAAGTACCTACCAACTCATATGTTTATTGAAGCATCGTCATCATTACAGTAATTCAAATCGAAAAATTATTGTGCTTAATTTTTCTCTTGTCATCATCATCAGCCTATTAATGTCCCCACTGCTGGGGCACAGGCCCTCCATTTGGATGGAATAGGCAGATTGGGTCATGACCCACCACGCGAGCCCAGTGCGGATTGGTGGGTGCTAACGACTGCAGATGCAGCCGAGACCAACGGCTTAACGTGCCTTCCAAAGCACGGAGGAACTCGAGATAGTAATTTTTGGTCACCCATCCAATGACCGACCACCGTTTCTCTTGTACTCGTGTGAAATATAGTTATTTAAATAAAAGTTCTATATACCGTACCATCAGTAGAATTTTGTTTTCAATAACTATATTTTTCACAATTGGGGCCCCATTAATGCCCGTGATACTCAGGTCTCTTCTGAGAAAAATAAAGTTTGTTTAATTATATAAAAGTTATAATTAATACACATTTTATTAAAAGTGCAACCTTTTTCCTTTCTTTAGAATTATAATTGATATTGATTTATTCTAGGGAAATTGCTACAACGACCATTTTGTCCTGGAAAATGACAAACAGTCGCATCATATGAATCAGAAGAACATACTTCAAATATTTTTATTATATATCTAGATCGCAAGTATTTGAAAAATATCATTTGTCCCAGTTAGGGATAATGCTAAACTGTTCACAAAAAATATACGGGCCACTTTGTAGTTGGTTAAAGAAATACACTCATAGACATTGAAAATGTTGCCTCTGAAGAATTTTACCCATTCGTTATGTGAATCAGCCGCATTTTATCTACCTACTACTTATATTAACTTTGTGAATCTTCAGAATATTATAAGATTATGTAGGGTCACAAAGTTTTTCGAACAGGTTATCTCCGCCCGTATCAGCGAGCTCCTGTCGCTCGTGGGTCCCGACTTGTCGGACTGCCAATTTGGATTCCGGCGAGGGCGATCGACGCTGGACGCTATCCAACGCGTCCGATCGCTGTCAGAGTCCGCAGTCCGATCAAGGGGGGTGACTCTGGCGGTGTCCCTGGACATCGTCAACGCCTTTGGCACCCTCCCCTGGCAGGCCATCAGGGAAGAACTCGAATTCCACGAGTTGCCCCCCTACCTGCGGGCCGTGGTTGGGGACTATTTGCGTGACAGGACAATCCGAGCGGTGGGAAGGAACGGGACGGAAACGACGAGAGGGGTCGAGTGC